CCAACTCTACTACTACGACAAAGAACCTGTTTAAATGACAATTAAACAGTTTGTTCATAAAATCAAATATGCATTAAAAGCTTTTAAACTATTCGAATAAATAGACAAAAAACAAATTAATTGTCGAAAAACCACCATTATGAATGAATACTTCAGGAGAACGTTTTTCGAATATTCGCTAAATTATGTAAGAATACAGATTCTTTCGCACTAAGTGATGTTACACGAACCATGTATACTACTTTATGCTATTAACCATATCCCTCATAAGCAAACGGCTTGCTCTTAAAAATTAATTCTCTGGAAAGGTTTTAGTACCTTATCTACACTTGAGTCAGCATACGCTTAATTTTGTTAAGATCTTGAATGAACCTATTTAACGGACAATGTAAATAGAACGGTAACTTATACAAATATTCGTCAGGATTAGAACGAATAGTTTGACTGGAATTGGGCGCCGAGTATAGAGGAGTCATTATATGTGAAAATTATATTTGGAATAATCTCAGCGATTGAAATTTAAATAACTCCAAAGTTTCGTTCAGCTAACTTGTCTGGACTTCTTCAGGGTAATAATCAAAATCATCAAACAAGTATATAGCTTTTAACAGATAAGGAAGACCAACGAACTGAACTGAATAAAGTATTTTCTACTCTTAGGGATAACAACTACCCAAAAGAGCTTTTAAAAAAGATTGTTAAAAATGAGAGATAAACCATACTAGAATGTATACGAAAAGTTTGGAAGTACACAGTAGTCATCCTATACCGTAGTGGAACATCGGAAGAAATCAAGCGGATTCTAAACAAACATGATATAAGAGTGTATTTTAGGGCATGTAACACTTTAAGATCGACATTAGTGAAAAGTTAAGGACAGGTTACCAAAGGAAGAACAACATAGTATTGTGTATGAGATCAACCGTCATGATTATAATGCAGCCTATGTTGGAGAAACCTCCAGACAATTGAATGTAAGGTTGAAGGAACACAAACAATGTTTGAAAAATGTTCTCGAATCCTCGGTTGATTTGAAGAAACTTGAGAATAAGTCCGCAATAGCGTTACATGAGTTAGAAACAGGGCACAAGATTAATTTTGAAAGGACCAAAATAATTCAGAAAAGTTTTAACACTCATAAAGAAAGATTGACAGAAGAAGCGCTGTATACATGGACGAACAAGAACAGTCTGAACCGAAAAGATGGTATTCAACTAGCAACTACCTGGCGAATTTTCGTTTGACAAGTAATTTGAACCTTCCCTTTATTCAACCTGTTTATTTCACATGCATCGTTATTTTTGACTGAATTCAATGAGTTTTTAGCAATACAATTATGTATCTGTTTGATTAAAAGACTAGACTGACGGGGATCTTTAAACGATTTGTTTGATTGTTAAATTTAACAATGCACATCGATGGTTCATTAACAATTTTTTAACCTTGAACTTGAACTTTTATTTAATTATTCCTTCATATATAACATATTAACACCGAATATCAATAATTCGTCCCACACACACATACATACATATCTGCACACTTACACACATACAATTTGTTATTCAGTTAATTATTTTCATGTACCTGAATTTTTCACATAATTTGTAGCTAATTGACTCATTTTATCCTATTTTACAAAAATCAATATCCAAATTTGATTGGTTTAACACAGTATAGTTTTGATTGTTAAAAAGCTATATCACAGATTGAAATCATGAGTCAATTGAAGCTAGACCACCATAGAAAACCTGGAAGCATTGGACGACCGGTTCGTCCTAGTATAGGACTTATCAACAGTGCGCATCCATGATCCCGCACCCAGCGAGATTCGGACCCAGGACCTGCCAGTCTCGCGACAAGCGCTTAACCAACAAGACCACTGAGCCGGCATCCAATGGTGTTAATGTCTAACTTCAACCAATCCACGAGGTTCCACCACCATACACCATCTAATTTTTCTACTCATTGGGATATTACTGATAGGTCATGGGTTGGAATCCCGCGGGGTGCGGGATCATGGATGCGCACTGCTGATGAGTCCCATACTAGGATGAAACGGCCATCCAACGCTTCCAGGTTTTCCATGGTGGTCTAGCTTCAATTGACTCATGATTTCAGTCAGTGAAATTTCTAAAATCTCCACAAACCCCTTCTGATAAAAAGCTATATATTTCTTTGATGATTTTGATTATTACCCTGAAGAAGTCCATACAAGGTAGCTGAACGAAACGTTGGAATTATTTAAATTTCAATCTCTGAGATTATTTGTAGATATCTCTGTATTAATATTATTATTACCATGTTTGCATGAGCATGTATGCTTGATCATGTGTTATAGACTAGACACATCGCTCTTAATAGCATAAATGCTATTTATTTAAATCCCTCTATAACTCATTTACTTTCCTATAAATATATGTACTTTTTAAATCTTATCAATTCATTCGCCATAATCCGCTCCCTGATATTCTCTCTCATCTACTTACATTCGCATTTATGCTTGTATTCACTTTGTATGCCTGTAGGTTTGTGATCTGCTCTGTACGATAATAAAACACACAAGGGATTTCACCACACATAATCTGTTAAGGTTACCATCATATAATTTAATTATGAAAAATATGAATATTAGTTAAATACTTCAATGTTTTGTGTCATCAAGACAACATAATTTTACGATGAAGTCTCATTTATATCTAATATTGATGTTTGTAGGTCAAATATCTTCGTTACGATGTAATATAATCTATGAAAACAAAATCGTCTATATTAATAGTCAGTGACAGAATATCTATGATAATAGATGTATTCTGATTATTTTAATAAGGGTAGTTGAGTTTCAGCTAAAAATTTCTTGAAATAATCAATGAAATCTTTTGTTCGATAATCGAGACAATGAATGCAGATTATGTATTTGTTAAATTAAATAAGGTTAACAAAATGATGTCAATTTTATCATCACAAAAATAGAAGAATTTAATTCATGTTAGTTATTTTGTGTAATGGACATATTATTAAAACTAGTTCAAGGCGTTTCCATAGATTTTTATACGTTATCATGGTACTTTGGGAGTTGGGGTTTGCGTGACTATCGTAACCAATGTTTGAAGACTCTGAGTGACATGGCTCAGAGTCGATCACAATGGCGTAGGTGTATACACTTTCTATCTTCCCCTAAACTATAAGATTAAAATTATTTCATATCTTTCTTTCTATGAACTAATTATTTCTTTCTGTACTATATCCTTACATAAAATCTTTCCTTTATATATAACACCATTGAGTTAACTGCTTCTATGAATCCGGTGTTCGTTTTGCTGTGCTAATGAGGTGTGGCAACTTGGACCGATGCATGTATGTGCCTGGTCCTATGTTGTAACTGACTGACTGACTTTTTGAAATCATTAAAAATAAACACTGGAGTTAGTGATCGTATACAAACTTGTATTTTTATAGCATTATAGGTTATTTAAACGTCTTCGATGGAAAAATATTGCACTAAGTGGTAGAATGATAGTACTACCAGAGAGATGATTTGTTGATGAATATGAACCAAAATATTGGTTTTATGCGGAAGATCTTTGCTGATAAAGACTCCTAAAATATGATTTTTAAAATACATCATTTTCAGTAACAACAGTTTATGTAAATAGGTTATTTGAAGCTCTTTTATCCTCTTCTGTGGTTATTCGACGCCACAGTACCAACCGATTAGTAACGATTATGTTAATCTTATCTATTTGTTCACACATATAACTGCATGCTGCATCATTCATTACCTATGAACATTATGCGATTACTGTAATTAATATTCTGTTCCAGTTGCACTGTATATCAGAACATAGAGTTTAGAGCTAGTTTTTCAAAGGTACACTCTTGTTCGTCACATCCAAGACAATCTCACTCATCGTTATCGATGACCATATATATTGGTATTTTTAGTACGGTATCGTGACACGAGGTCGAATGCCAATTCCTCTATCGACATCAACCACGCTAGAATTCACAACCAAAAGGGAATACTACTCCGCATATATCATCTCATCAGTCCCTAAACTGCTCCTCTGATCATTCTACTAATACGTATTTAACGATAACTCGATGCATCTAGTTTTACCGAGAACAATAACGTACAATGACTTCGCATTTTAGGACTACTATTAAATGTAGTACAGCAACGAATATCACCCATCAATGCAGTTATCATCTTACGGCTGGATTATTTTTATTCCACATAAACTCCATGTATGTGAATTGGAATTTATTGATCGCCAATCAACACTATTTACTCTACTACGGCTTATTAGAACACCTTCATATTTCACGATTCTTTATCACCATATTCATCGTCTCCACGGAACAATTTCCGTTATATTCCGTTATATTACTTATTTTCATGATTTATTTTGCTGTCATACCCATAAACGATTTATTGATCTATTTTCACGGCATTTCGAATCGCTCATATGAACGTGTTATTTCGTCAAACAGACAGGCACGACACAAATGCATGCTATTTTTTTGTACGCTTATTAATTTGGTCTTAGTCGCATGCTAACATTCTATTTTTGTTCGCATCTTTACGAAATTCATGTATTTTTTACGTAAGTATGACACCTCTACATTATGCAACCAGCCCTCACGTTACATTGTACTTTATTAGTAATAGTACGATTTTTTTCACTAGATGTTAGCGTTAACCACATATCTATTCAGTGTTGCCATCGAGACAACTTTTTTTCGAATGAATGTGCTATTTTCTACAAATGGGCTATGTAGTATCGGTTGCTGTGTTAATCCCACACAGCTTATTCTAGCTTCTGGACAGACCAGTTTATTCATTCTTAGTGAGTCACATTTTGGCCTTGTCAATTATTCGCTTATCAACCTTGATTGCTTATAATATGAAGGTATGTGTGTGCACATCTTATCCTATTCATCACATGTCTAACTTATTTTTGTGTGGCTATAAATATCAATTCACTCTTGGTTAAATTGAGTTGGCTCACTCGCATTCTTCATTGCATGTCATCTTGTTTTGCATCGCTTTACGATCAACGGTTGTACAAAATATACGTACTCAAAAATCCATTCTCGTATTTGACTCATTTAATTTCGTTATTCACCAACGCGATTTAAGTAGATAATTGTATACGAGGATTGACGACATGTATATTTCAATAGCGATCAGAAACAATCTACGTGGAGTCAGGTCTCGGGTCACAAAAGAGATTTCTATGAAATTTCAGGGTACGGGACTGTCGGAGATCATTCGTGATCATTTTCTGAAGTCTACGAATGCTGGTTTAGCATACGTGTTGACGACTGACCTGACTATAATTTATGTCCTATATGGAACTAAAACGAAGTAACTACTAATTCTGCAGAAAAAGTATTAGTGAGTCAAAATTATAGTCGAGGTTTTGTTAGATTTTCTGTGTTCACGGTTCATAAGTGCGACCTGTACCAAAAATGGAATAAAACAAGCGATGGATGTTGCAAGTCAGGCTTTTTTGCACGACACAAAAGATAACATAAGTCGGCGTGGATGGGGATTGAAAGAAAAGGTAAATTTCACTGAGTTTAAATATAATATTGAATATCCGTATGTGTATATCTTACTTTTTGTAAACGTTTTATCTTCAAGTTACTATTTACTGTATTTTTCCCCAGCTGGCTTCGCAAGTACTTATCGACTTAATTGCAAGTTTTTAATTCAGCAAATATTTCTATATTACCTTTCTTGCATAATGTCCGTTTCACATGGCACTGTAGGACCTCATGCTGTAGATTACCAGGTTCAATGATTGTCATTAGATTAGGTATTTATTTATTTATTATTATCATGGGAATTTTCCACACTACGGTTATTATATAGATTCCCAGATAGTTGTCTGAGTATCTGTATAACTAAGGTAGACATAAATTTATTGGTAACAATAATTACCTTCACAAGTATGTTGTCTTTGAGTTGACATCTGAACGGCACTGTTGCTAGAATGAATAGCGAGAAAACGGAGTGCTTACTTTGTACTTGGACATGGTGAGTACACATCATCTGCAATTATCCGGATTATTATTTTTATACACTGTAGAAAACTTCAAAAACATTTTCAAATTCATCCCATTCCAAGAACCTTTGAGATAGGTTTGTCTGCCAAAAATCATCGGTCGAAACACTTTCAGAATTATTTAACATAGTATTACTACTGAATGAATGGAAAAAAGCGTATAACAATCTCAAAGGACAAAATATACAAAATCACCTACTGCTGCCTATAGGTCAACAATTAATGAGTTCAAAACAGGTTTTATCTAGCTAAAAAGCAGACATAAACGATACACAAATCTATATATCATTCGACAAACAGGTCTGCTAAAGGCGTTACATATTATGGATTGAATCTAGCCTACGGACACGCACTGACATGAAGTACTCCAAGGGTGGAATGACCACCTTGAAGTAAGCCACTCAACGTCGCTGGAAAAAAGAGCAGCATTTCCAATTCCAAGATAGCTTTTATTGCGTGCCATGTTATGTCGTAATGAACAGAAATTTTCATGAAGCTAGCAACTCACTTACAATGTACACCATATACTTTTAAGATTTCAAAACGTGTTTTCAAATGAAAAGAATACAATTTTCGGTCAATATAACACCATGTTTGTAGGTGATTTCAAACAAAAGTAAGCATTTCTTAATTTTAGCAACTTTTTGATCACTATGTTTGGGCGTATTTTAAAATTTATTCCCTCATAACTTTTGTGAACCGATTTTCATACTATTAACTATTTACTTACGCCTTCCACCCCTCGTGAAAGAGCATAGGCTGCTTACCAGCATTCGCCATCGAACTCTATCCTGATCAATTCTTTCCAGTTGCTATTCATGTCTATTTCTAATTCTCGACGCCATGTGTTCTTCGTCCTTCCTCTTTTCCGTTTCCCTTCAGGATTTCAAGTTAGGGCTTGACTCGTGATTCAGTTTTGTGCTTTCTGTAATTTATATCCTATCCACTTCTAATGTTTTTATTTAATTTCCTCTTCAGCTGGAAGTTGGGTTGTTGTCTCCGACAGTAGGCTGTTGATGATGGTATTCGGCCAACGGACAGTGAGTATCTCGCGTAGACAATTGATTATAAATACTTGTAACTTTTTTATTATGGTTGTGGTAGTTCTCTAAGTTTCCGCTTCGTACGGCAGAACTATCTCGACGTTCGTACTGAAGATTCTGACTTTGATATTGGTTGACATTTGTTTTCAGTTTCATCTGTTCTTCTATTGTAGGAACGCTGTCCTTGCTTTGCCAATCCCTGCCTTTACGTCTACATCAGATCCTCCTCGTTCGTCGATAATTTTGCCTAGGTACGTGATATTCATACCATAGTTTTATTTAAAAAGTCGAAATTCTGAATTATTTCATTTACCCTCAGAAATATCAGGTTTCGTAGAAGAAACTTATTTTTATTCAAAAATGACACGTTGTACGACACAGTCAATGTTATCGCTTGTTTTATTTAATTCCATTCTTTTGTTTGTTATTCTAGTGAAATAAATTCTTCACATTTTAGCAGATTTACTTAATTACGGTTTAAAAGGCTTGAGAAGTATAAAGAAGAATTATACAAGTATAAAATCCCTATTGGGTTTTTCTGACTTATTGTTTTAATATCCTGGGAAATCAAGCACTTAAAGTTCATATCTGGTCAGAAATATTCACTTTGTAGAACTTCAAACATTTGGAAATTATTTGAAGGGCTAATAAGTAGGGAACTGATTACTGACGACATTCAGATGGACATTTATAACTTGTATAAGTCATTGTTATGTAGATAATCTGATGCTAGGTTTGGTATCTACCTACATTCTCAAAAACTTTTCGTGCATGTTTTGATGAAACTGATATCCCTATAAGCCTCATTTCACCGAATTCATCATAATGCTTAGTACCAAACGAAATATCGAACCTCGTAAATAAAAAACTGCTATGAAATCCATATTAAGTGTCATGTATCTCTGTAAAGGACTTACTGTTGATTTCTCTTGGTATTCCCATACATGAACATTTATCAACCGACATATTATGTAAAGGTGTTATGTTATTTCGGCATTATTCAACATTTATTTTCATGATTTGTAAATTATTTTATTTGTTATCATTCACTGTTCCGCTTTCTCTTTTCCTAGGCATTCGATAATAGGTCTTGGTGAATAAGACAGACGTTCTCATGTCATCACTTTCAAACAGCTTTCTTCAATCATATTCATCTTAAGCGAATTAACAACATATCTTTAAAATTCTTGGAGTTGTTTTTCATAAATTACTTCATCATAAACTTTTAATGTTGAAATCCTCGGACATAATATGATGGTATTCATAATGCAAAGAATTCTATTAACCACAATTCTGTTTCAAGAAACTACTTTCAGTTTTCCAACTAAGTGTCAACGTCGACTCACATATCTCGTGTACGAACCTACTGCGAAATCGTTTAAATGCACCGTTCTTTATCACATTATATTAATTAATATATTCTTTTGAATCGGTTTGACTCAATTATTTCCATGGGTTACTAGATTATTTGATTATCATTTCCAGGTAGTTTATCGCAAAAGCTGTGTTTACACTGGTTTCGATGCAGATATAAGCAATGTGAAGTGAAATAAATTTAAGCAAAAGTAAATAATAACAGAGACTGGATATCTTTTAAAATCAAGGGGGTTGCTTGTTGTGAAACACTTTGGATTTCTTCGAAAATCATTTCAACTTCGATGAATGCTTACAGCATTTTTGAAACATCAGGTTCACTGCAAATAACTGTTTAACAGTGCTTATTTGACAGTAGTTTCAGTGAGTGAAATGTTAGGATCAATAAACTCTGTCAACCTACCTCACTTGATATGAGATTTTCTACGTTGCGATTTCTTCAATGTTATTTCATTCCATATTGAGAATCGTGTTTTAATATACAACGCACACATGCACCTTGTCGAAAAATAATCATAGTCAATAAAATATCCACTCGATGAAAATCCACACCATGTTCACTTTTTCGCGACTCACATCAGAGAACTCAAATAACATTTCAAACTCTTAACAGGTAATTTCAATATTAAGGATGACTTTCTTCATCCATCCACATTTCAAGTGGTTTTCAGAATCCGAAACTTAAATCCTAGATCTAGAGCCTTAACTGTGAGGATATTCGATAAAATCGGTTGCAATCTCTCAATCTGTCGTGTGTAAACGTCTATAGAGTCGAAATTTTTTGCAACACATCTCTCTGAAATCTTTATATATGCTTCCATAACTTGAGAACTAGCATATTATATACAGTCTGTCTGACAGACTACAACTACATATGTAGATACGATAATTTAATATTTTAGATGTTTAACTGATGAAATTAACAATGCCATCTGTTTTACTGGAGCATTCCAAACGAAGTAGAAAGTTGTCATTTCGTAGATTTTTTCTTGCATTTATATTGTTTTCATTAGTGTAAGCTTGAATCAGCTTATTGAATAAATTCACTTCATATTTTTTGTTCGTATACTTCCAATTGTCTTGTTCGATGCCTCTCATTTAATTATGGTTATCCATTTATTCAACTAACTAATTAAGTTAACAATATGAATATTTTGAAATAAATTTATTTTTCACAATAGTTACTCCGAATATATGTGTACTGTAGAAATAATAAATTTATTCATAAGAATCTATTCAGTCGAAATATTCGCTTTGTAACTGTATTGGATGATTACAATTAATATTGACGGAGATGTGTGCATTAAACTATGAACAGCAATTAAACAAATTCTACGTTGACAAATGTTTAAGAAGGAAAAATTGGTAACAATGTACCGAAATACCAAGTTAATTAAAACAAGAGACTGATCAACTGCAGTCCAAAATATCAATGGGAAGATTCAAGTAAACAGTACCAAGTAAATTTAAAAACTTCACCCTATTGCACAAAAAAGTGGCTATCAGGACTCAGTCGCTGAGCTGATAACGCGATGGCGTTTGAAGCGAATGGTACTGGGTTCGAGTCACAGAGTAAGCATCAACTCTGAGATGCCGGTACATCCAGCTGACAAGTCCCAAATAGAACGAAACGCACATCATAGATTCCACTGCTAGCCACTATTCATCTTTGCTTAAAACATAATTGATGTTATAAATATTTACCAATCTTTGTGTTCTTACTTTCGCATCATGGGAATTGCAAAGATCCCTCGTTTCGAGTATAAATTATAAGCGTTTTCGACACAACAATTAGCGACGATCAGATATAACAAGTAGCGCTCAATCCACAAGACATATTAATATTTAAAGCCTATTATTCACGACAAAAACCAAATATTTCTTTTTGTTAAACCTACATAATTTTTTAAATAGTGAATAGTCATTTAACCAATATTTTTGAAGAATTGTTTCAGAATTAAACTAATACAATGCTATTTATAATTTACTGAATCAAATGAAATTAAGTATAGAATTAGAACAATTCACATTACAATTTATTAAGAAAACGTGATAACAACAAAAAAAGAAACAAAAACACCAGGATCGTATCATTCACAATGATATTAGTAGAAATGTTGAGAAAAAGCGACAAAAAAAACCAAGCATTACAGTGTTACTAAAAAAGCAATATATATGTATTTATATGCAGAGAGAGAGTGAGGTTACTGAGATAATAATTAGTGAGATTCCAATCTTATACTGAGTAGGTGATATTTATGATTTAAAAACTGTTCAATAAATGAGATCATTACATCAACAAAGAAATATATTTAGATAACAAGAAAAGAAGACGGATAGCAAGTAAGAAGAAAACATTTTAGCCTTCTTTTCATAATATAGTCGTATAAACAAGTGAATAGTGAAGAACAATTAAATAAAAAGTGAAAAAAAAACAATGCAAAAAATGAGATTACCATAAACGACTTCTTTCTCTAAAAAAGAATGCAATGTCACTGAATAAAAACACTAGTGATTTTGTTTTTTATCCGTTCATGATTCACTTATGGTGATGATTAAAGTATGAAACAGAAAAAACCGCCAAAATAAGTGTGACTATATATGAATATAAACATATAAAAATCTACACAAGTCAAAAATGCCTAGAGATGAAGTTGTGCATAAACTAAATGGTGATCACAAAGTTAAATAGTTCATAGAAGATAAAGAATAAACAATGAAAAATCATATGAAAGTTAGTAATGGAATAAATTCAGTAAGGAAATTCTAAAGAAAATGTATGTCTATGATCAATTTTATTTTAGCATTCGTTGTAACAATCCTTCATTGATGTGCATTAAGAGAATTGACAAACCATAACAAATCAGTCATATGATAACAATCAAAGTAACATCACTGACTGTAGTATAAATGATAACTCCATAAAATAAAATAAGACTATGTTTTATACTCTGAATTGATATGAGAAAAATACAACTGTATGCCTTTCGCTCCGCATGAATACATATGAAACGAAAACAAAAGTGCAACCACATATAGTATTTGATTTTTTTTTAACGAAGTCATAAAAAAACTACGTTCATATTTTCCGCTACACATCAGATTTTTACATCATTAATTTAACATAGTTAGCTGGAAACAACCCAAATTGTCCATCAGCATTTCGACCAAGCCACCAACCTTCATCAATTTGTTCAATTTCAAATATATGTTCTTCGGCACGAAATGATAATTCATCATCTTCATCTACACACAACAAATGATAAATGAATAAAAAGGAGGAGAATGTAACGATAAGTATCGGAATTAAGTATAACTGTAAATTTATTCATAGTTTATAACTAGTATCCATTTCATTTAAAGATTTTCAAAAAAACATCTCAGTAGTCAATTTAATCGTTCTCATTTAAATAGATGGGTTTCATAGTAAAATTTAATCAATATATGAATTACAATTTCATTATGTCTGAGAAAGACTAATGTTATGTCCTATGACCCGTCAAATATCACGTGATAAAATCGCCAACCGGAATACCGACTTCTATGTCCCTTTGTTAAATCAATGACACGTTAACCGGCATTAGCAGCCTGGAGCTAACTCTCGATCCTTAATAGTCCTCTGTATGATGGCATATCGCCGAGCCCATTCATTCCAGAAAACAAATATCATCCCCCGCCATATAAGTCGTATACTTGAGAAATACTTGGTTTATATACACACAGATTCCATAAAATGAAAAACTACAATTATATAAGATCAAGCCAAAAGTGTCAGTGAGTATAGGAGACTATAACTAAAAGATTGGGAATAAATTAACAATGGAAAATAGTATAACAATAGTCAATATATCAAATGAAAGCCTATGATAAAAGGAATATGAATTATCCAATAAGAATATATGTAAAAATAGTCCATAGTTAACATTCATTTATTCTTCGTTTGCATATAACAACAAACCATTTTAAAATGTTTAACAATACTAATTTTCCTTTAAAATATAATGTGAATTTATTCAAAAATATTAATTCCTATTCAACATTATCTAAGATGTTGAGCTGACGATGAAGATGATAATTGGATCTACAAATTGCTATATAAAGAGTTAATAAATCACTGATGTACATACTGCTGAAAACTTAATAAATTACAACACAAAAACACAATCATCGTATCTTTTGATTTAATCATCACTATTTCAAACCAAAGTAGCGACTAAATACACTAATATAAACTCACTAGCATTATAATCATATAGACAGACAGCTTTAAGATTTGAATTATTCTTTGTTTTATTGTGCACTTCCGTATTAGGCGATGAATTAATACATGGTGAAACTAGGTTATACATTGAATTCTGTGGTGAAACTGAGTTTTGATGATAAGTATTATTGTTATCATTGTTACCGTTTTTTAACTGTTGCTCAATGTTAGAATTAATTTGATTATTTGAAATATGTACTATCGGTGATAAAGAAAGAGGAGGTGATGTTGTTTGTTGTTGGGATTGTTGATAATGATGACCATTTTGATATAACAGATCTCGACTACTTGAATTATTAATAACATCAGACTAGAAGAAAAATATCAAAGTAAACGTTTAGTTTCTATATGAAAATAAACGATAAAAATGTATACATGTAAAGCAATAAAAAAATAAACTCTTTTGAACTAGGACTTTAATTTGCTAAACAAATTTATTTTCTAAATAAGTCCAGAATTAACAGTAATACGTAGTCCTGTACTTTATACAATATACAAGGTTACAATCTATGAAATAATCATCCGATCATATAATATGTAACTGTCTAGTAGTTCACAGTCACCAGTATGTCCAGATAACCAGTTTTTTATACTACGGTCACTAATATGTATGAAACTTCCATAGTTAATATGATGGATAAAGTTTGTTATTTCTAAATAACTTAATTATGTGCTATTTACTTGGAACACCTTATTTTTGAATTCACAATATGTCAGAGAATGGTATGAAAAACACCGGAAATAAAAATAGTATATTTCGAATTCAATAGCGAAATCATACTGATCACTATGTAATGGAAAACAGTGGCAGTAGGATATTTCACACGGGTGATGATCACTATATCTAACAATGTTAGTTCTTTATTTCTGAAGGAAAGATTTTAGGAAATCGATTGTAAGTGAAGTTGTGCAATATATTCTTGTTAAAAGAAAAATATCTGATAAGAATTTAATTATTTTCCAATATTAATCAAGAATGATGCGAAAAATCTCTACAGAATCAAATGTACAAGGAACGAATCAAGCGAAGAAATTTCTTCTCAATTAGTTTCTCATCACGACTCTACACAATAATGAAATAATACTCATCGCGTAGACACGTTACTTGATGATTATATAATGACAAATCGATTATACATTAACATTGAGCACTTGGAAGAAATAGGGTTACTCAATGTTAATTTGTAGTCGACATGTCATTATATAATTATTACGTAACGTATATCTACTCGATGAGTATTATTTCACTATTGTAAATCATGTATACATTAGTGCAGAGCTATGATGAAAAACTAATCGAAAAGAAATTTTTTCGCTCGATTCGTTCCTTCTTTATTTAAGAAATGTCAAAACGGGAATTTTTAAGAATCAAATGTATCAGTATTCATTATAAATGTTGTATGTGTTGAAAATCTTAAATTACATTCAACGAATTATTAATATATCATGAGAAGTCATAACTGGATGATATTTCTTAAAGAAATATTTTAATATATGGTATTGTGAAGTGAATCAAGCTTTTGATTAAACTTAATTGTCTAATTTAAAAGCATAACTACTGAGAACTGATTATTTTTCACAATTTAAACGTTTCTTGGGAACAACTATTCAAGTGAAACTATAAAAATGATTGTTAGTATCGGATTGTGCAGATTGCTGATTTTCATTGAAATCATGAATTGGTCAATATTAGACCATTGTTACAAACCTGGAAACACTGGAAGATAATCGCACAATATCGTTGATTGATTGGAATTAGAGATTAACGCTGTTGGATGCCAGATCAGTGGTTTAGAGGTTACGCGTTCGCGCGCGAGACCGAAAGTCCTAGGTTAGATTCTCGCGTGCGTGATCGTGAATGAGCGCTTGTGAGTATCCCCATACTAAGACAAAACGGCCTTCCAATGCTTCCAGGTTTTCAATAGTGGTCTAACACTGATCGATTTATGATTTCAATGTAAAAGTGATGCTGAAGCTGAGTTTCTAATAGGCAGCTTACCCGAATGGAATTTTATTTGTGATTTTTGAAACTTATCTCATATATGTTGCCATGAGCAATAAGATGTGCATAAAATAATACACAAAGCAGCAAAGTAATACTATAACAGTGTTATATTTTAAAACGATGCCCTGAAATCAGCCTACTGAACTTGAATGCATCCGGGTAATAAATCATCGAAAAAGTATAAAAACAAAACTGGATTGATTATTTTGCTGCAAGTATCATCTTAGATAGATTTTGGGAGTAAAATAATTATTAGACATAAATGTACGGATTCAAAACATTTTTGTCATATCAAAGGACATTCGTGGAACATTTAACTTTTAGAACTATCGTACGGCTAATTATTACCTATATATTCTTGTTTAATTATTAGACGCTTGGATTAGTTTATTTTTACATTCTCCTAATCTCTACTTTTCGGTTAACCAGTCTGATTGCCTGTTTGAATATCTGGGTTACCTGTTCCTGCCATCAAGATATTTCAACAAGTTATCTGTTTGTTTGTTTTAGCACATCATCATGTCTATTCATCACATAACCTATTCAGGAGCGCTTTCACGACCCTTCATAATACAAGTAACAAAAAAGTATAATCAGAGACATTGTGGTGGCTGACAATATGGATTGAAAAGAATGAACATTATTATTGTAATGTCGACCCCTAAACTACTAACATCTAACTGGCGATCACTCAATATTTATCGTCACGTCCGGTCGAGAAATAAGAAAAGGGAACTTGTTGAAATACTTTGTGCTCAGAATCCTATATTGTCCTCAAAAGTAAACATTGAATAAAGCCATTAATAATAATAATAATCTGCATATCGTTGATTCAAGTCTTATCATACTAGCATTATCACTAGTAAATTATTTCCCTGATGTTTGCTTTTAATATCACATGATTGAGTTGTTCATATATTGTTGTTTTCTATTTGTTGCTATTCAGTCGGATATCTGAGGTATACTATTGTGTGAGTTTTAGTCATGATTAAATAAGGTACGACAAAGGATCATTCTCCTTGTTATCTTCGTCTCCTGACTGAACACTGAACTTGACGACCAGTAGGCGTTGGTCGGAGCACAAGGATTCAAATGCAGTTTGAAATTCATGATTTCATAAAGATATAGACATTTTTATATATGTGATCAAATAATGACAACTGTTTAGTCTTAACAGACAAACAATATACATCAATGAAGCGGTCAGAAACTATTCCAAACACACATTACTCAATAAGAAACATTACCTTTTTATTTGTTGATGATAAAGTATTTGAATTATTCGCGGCTTTAATAGAACGAATTTCCGACTGAACATCTGGTCGTTTATAATTGGCACCCTATGAAAAGATAATTAAACAAGAATAACATAACAAAAAAAGTAGTTTCTATCTGCATAGACCAATAGAACCGGTAATTAATACGATGTACTGAGTGAAAGCAGGCTAGTAGGGAAGACATACATATCTATGCAAAAATTTTCACAAAAACGTCAAACGAAACCCTAAATTTCATCACCGAGCAGCTGATGTGCTAGTCAAAATAGGCTAGGCAACTAATATACAAAAATATATTATAGTAGAATAGTATCTACTGTAATACAAAATACGTCTTCAATCTTTTTAGAAAAATCGGATAATACCACAGAAAATTTCAATGAAAACCTTTGTTTACTACCTTTAACTCCCAGGAAATGATTAGAGTAGTGGTAAGGAGACTAATAAACCAGACTGTGTTGAGATATGTTGAACGCATCCATGCCTAACCTTGAAACCTTACATGTTACAATAACAAGCGATTTAATTCATCTCCATATGATTATGGAAACTAACATTTCAAACATTTTGTGGCTTGTACTGAAGGTTCTGCAATTAACGTAGGTTGATTTACATCCATTTTCATAAACTCAAATGATTAGGAATCAAGACAAATGCGAAAATTCCGCGTCCCGTGACCTAGTTAATATTTTAATTAAACTGAGTATTCCTAGTCGTTTTCCTTAGATACTCCTGGAATCATTCCCAGATAGCTTTTGTTTCAGATCTTAGGAGGGCCAAAAATAGAGTTCTATGCACGTTAGGATCGGATTGTGGGCAACTGGAGTGTGATTGTAATCGAGTTTAATTGTTTTGCAGTGTTGCAGATGATGTTTGAGGTTAATATTAACCAAACTCCTTTTCGTATCTCTTACATTCGTTGAAGTAAGCCACAGACGTAAGTGTCTACGCTTTTGATTTCACAAATCACTACCGGTGATTGGTGTTTGATTTTCACTCAGAGAGTTTTGGTTTTTCGTAAATACTGGAACCTGCTGAGATGAGTCTCCGGGTCTCAGTCGAAAAATTATAAGTTGCGCTAGCGCATATTTTACAGGTTGGATTATTACAAATAGGGTAAGACTAAAAGGTGTAGTATTTTGCAGTTGTAAAATAAGGAAGGAATCTGCTCGAGAACGAACTCGGGTGAAAACCGTACACGATTGCTGTTTTATAGAGGTAATTACTGAACTTTGGACTCAAATAAGTTCTTTCGCAATGAGAATGTACAGTGTTTCTATCACGTTTAACTCAACTATTTGTAATTTAATTCATTCTACATAACAGTGCTACACTTTTCACAGTTAAGCAGTCAAAATGAATCATAACCATCTAAAAATCTATTTGAATCTAATGTAGATTTCAAGTTACCCGGCGTGAGATAATAAAAAAACCACATAGATTATTAAAATACAACTGGTAATGTTGGTAATATTAGAAGTAACTTTTCATGAATGAGTTAATTGTCTTAGCAGTTACGTAAAATAAAATATTAAAGAATAATTAACAAAGTTCTGTGAAAATGTAAAACTTACAACAGGTTCACTGTTATTGAACACAGACTCTTGAGGCTGTTTGCATGAACGAGCTGCCAAAATTTCAGCTCTTGGGTCTTGCTTCTTATAACATGTGCCCTAAATCCCATAAGATAAAGATATATATATATATATATATATATATATATATATATATATGCATCAATTCTTATTATAAAAATAACATTGTATTTGCGGCTAAAAAGGGTTAATTTAAATGAATCTAATATGGGTTTAAACATTTACAATTCGTACGACAATGTAAGAGTTAAAATATCACAATAATCAATAATCTAAGATGTATGAAAAACTTGGTGAAATTTATTTCCGTACGTTGAAAGGATCTAACTAGTTGTCTTTTCTGATCGTTGAAAGCACACGAAAAAGATAATATTAATCAAACAAACCCTAAAGACACATATTTAATTACTTTTGGTGTGACATTTGTAAACTGATCAGTGTTAAGAAATTAAACAGCACCAATAATAAAGACGTAGAGTTTCTAGATCGCTAGAAAAAGATTCACAATTAAAATGTGTTTTGTTAACCACGTCTAGGAAATCACCCAATATGTTGTCAATTATCTGCTTGAGTTATTACGCAATATGCAAATGAGTAGACGTTAAATTTTTGTAATCTACTTAAATTTATTCAATTAAATACAATATCTGTTGGGTGTTAGGTTCTAAAAAGGGCAATGCAATGTGATATGAGAAAATAATGATGAAATATGACAAGCACCATTCTAGATTATTTGAAGATACTCGACCAAAATTTAAAGTTATAATTTAGCAATTACAATAATAAATATACAAACAATATCAAAAGTAGCACGAATATGAAATAGTCAGACTTAAAACAATTTATATCATAATGAGTGGAAGCAAATAAGTGAAAACAATGCTAGTAACAGTAACTTTAAAGAGGAATGTCTCACATTAACTCGGCGCCCAAATACTGTGAAACTATTCGATCAAATTAAGACGAAAGTTCTTATTTATTAACGTAACTTTAGTAAGAATAAGTGAAACAAAAATGGCACCATGAATCTATTAACTATACTTAAACATGACATTTTGGAGAACATTAGAAAGCTAGATTCTGTAGGACAGTAGAGACAGATGTCCAACAAATATATGCATATAATGAATCTCATAAATTTTTTAGTCGCATGTGATAGTCTAGTGAAATTAATTCCAACCCTATGGATTTTCCTTTATCAATGAATGCAATACTAAGGATTGGGAAACAATAAGGTGTTGTTTAATATCTGAATACACGAAGGATGAACTGTGGTCATTCTCTGTATTAGTGGATTAAGTCAAGTTCATGGCCTCAGCTAGTGATTACAAAATATGAAGTTAATGATAATAACTAGTAACAAAAAGAGAATAAAACTGGTGAATCGATAGTTATAGCAAAGAGGAAGTGTATGTGGTGCTACGAATGGATTTGTTTGTGGTACTTCTCGATTGCCTACACTATATTTTATCGATGAAATAAAGAAACTGGATTGTTACGTAGCGACTTGAAAGTCTGGATGCAGATCATCAGAAATTTACTTAAAGACCTTAAATGTTAGCAAACGGTTAGCCACCATAGTTCTATGAAGCATTCATCAGGAATAGATTCCATTACCATGTTAGCGTAAGGACTAAAATATTTTTAATCTCGTCGCTACGGCAAAAACTTTATGAGGCATTTGTTAGCGTTCCCTATTGCTTTGAAACTTATCAAATAATTACTTAAAGGGTCACACTTAGAATTGAATTTACCGCAGGCTGATCGATTTTAAGATAATTCAATGGAATCAAAAAGTGTGCACACTACTTGTTATTTAACAAGCCGCATTCGATCTGCACTAATAAGGACTAGACAAGCATGACATTGATCACCACCCAGAGATCAATCAATTGTGATTACATCTCAGTCTTACAGGAGGTCAGTCGCGGCTCGGATAGCTCAGTGGTAACGTCTCTGACTGTGAAGCTGAGTGACACGAGATCGAATCCGCCAGAGAGCATCAGTTCCCTTAAGATTACAGGTACACCCTGCTGACGAGTGCCAAGTAGCACGAATCCCGGGTTTCCTGTTGACTACCTCCAACCACCATCTAAATCTCAATATATAGTTCCCGCAGTGTCGAGTTACCTAGACTGGTGGCCACATTGCAACATGATTGATAGCATTCGATCTGCACTAATAAGGACTAGACAAGCATGACATTGATCACCACCCAGTGATCAATTAATTGTGATAGAGATGATTGTCTACGTGGTAGATTTAAGGAAATTAAAAACGTAAAGGTCATAATAATAATAATAATACTAAAATATAAATCATAAAAACTTGCTAAAGAATAATAAATAAGTGATTACGGTTTAAAAAGTACAAGATATTGATCGAAACAAAAACAGGACAAAACATACTAAAGAAAAGAGTCATAACGTTAGAAGGGTAAAAGGCCAGACGGATAAAATGGACAATTATCTCATATATTTTTCACCCTTAAACTATCTTCATCTTCCTATTCATCTCTAAACTCTCTACCATTGCGCAATCTTTCTTTGATATTTAAAACATTGGATCACTTTATGATAGAATTTCTCTACATTCTTCTATAGACTCACGTATTTACTAAACAACTAAAAGTGCGAGGGTATAGCTTAAATAAATGATTTTGTAGAAAAGAAAGTTTTCTTCACTGAATCCCTTGTTGTCACTCAACATTCCTACTACTGTTACGACCAATCTTAACTTTTTATTTTAGGACCATTCAAAAGTACTAGGGTTAGTGCCTCAGTGTTAGGATCAATTATTGATGACGTACCAAAAAGAATAAAACAGAAATATAAGTTCGTAGTAAATTAGAAATGCTAATGCTATACTCCGTCAACTGAAAAACGTCCCAACATGATTTAGGAAAATAGTCACAATTTACTACCATGTAGTCATATGACATTACTTTGCAAGCATATCTATTTCATGGAATTCACCGTAACTTTTGGTTTCAAAGTTGAAGTTGCTTAACATTGCTTTGTGAGTATTCGTTGTACTTCACTAAATACTTATTAACACTCTTGACGAACTGAAAATTTCATTTCTTCACGCTAATAGGGTATGGCAACTTGAACCAAAATAAACATGTGCCAGATTCTACATTGTGCATGAATGACTGATTGACTATCTACAGTCTACAGAAACTGAAAATTGAACAAACCAAACATGACATATATCTGTATATCTAGTAGATAAAGTGAAGTTCTAAGAAACATTAAAATATCAAAAATCACACACCAACCGCTATAGAATGGTATAATTTCGAAAACCTTACTGATGTTGATTTTAAAATATTCATTCCTCAAACTATATCAATAAATAGGCAGGCCTACTTGGAATATACCATTACATTATATCAAAGGAGAAAACAGTAAACAATTTATCTTCAAATATGTATAGCCCTCTGAATTGAAAACATATTGTCTCGCCTCGCAGAATAAATAGACGAGAACATTACACGATAGCAAATATAAAATATTGGAATCTAATTAATCAACAAGTTGACAGGATTCACATGTGATCAACTTGAACCGGATGACTGTATATTATAGTGCGTAACAGAAAATAATGCAAGTGCAGAAAATATTATCCGAGATAATAAAAAAAAGAACCTTTATATGAAATTTTGAATGTTCTAATATTTGAAGACAATAAAACACGTATTTTCAATAATAATCATCAACAAAGGATAACAGTGATGCACGTCAACAGAATATTCAATGAAATATTTAAGATAGATAGTAAGTAAAATGAATATGGACAACTGTAAGCCTTTACACTCAGCTAACGACATTTTCTATCTCTTTCAAACACACACATACATACAGTAATATAATTATCCATCAACAAAAATTAGGAGAGAAAAAGAAACGTGAGAATATTTATCACAGGAACAGGAAGTCACAATTGTAAAAATCTTTTCAGCGAATATATCAAAGGCAGTAGAGAGAAAACACAATAGTTTCAGATTTACAAGCGGAAATTGGCATACATAAGTACTAACAAATTGGTGGCTCTAAACGGACAATGATCTATCCAGTTATCGATCGGTATCTAAAAACTTCGATCAATTCATTATCGAACTATAAACGAATTCAGAACTACGGACAAAGAAATCGAAAAGGCAACGCAAAAAGCTGATTGACATTTAGGTGATAAAAGGTTAAATGGCGGAGAAGATTCGCTTTATGCGAGATCATAATTATCTCACAATCACAAGTCCCAATAAAAAGAAAGGTGATATCAGGTAGGACAGCTTGTCCTGACTACTCAGTTAGCCATCCTAGATATTACAAACACTTGTTGAGTTAGCAGAAAAGTAGAACCTGATACATAACTGCATCGGTTTAAATTCCATACCCCATTAGCACAGAGAAATTATATTCTCAGACCAAATCCCACAATAGTACAGGTAGTCAAGTTAAAGATCGTATCCCAAACATACTTGCATTGTTACTTTAGGTGGTCAGAAAACTCGGCACTTCGTCAGCATCTTCACCAAACAAAACTAGATCATCAAGGTATTCTAAGTCAACAAGCGTATCTCCTGGTAGAATATCAACCCCTGAAAAGTCAGGTGACGAAAGTGTCATCTCTAAACGCATGTGTATGACAAGGTTAAATAAAAAAATGGGATCAGTGATTATTGTGTTACTTGGACGGAGTGTATCAAGTGAGGGAAAATGAATTACCTGATGAGTTTTTTCCTAGCTAGTATTGACTTTGACTGTTGTTGTGTTCGAATTTAATCTACCTTGACGAGTGAAATATATCGAAACCGTGCATTTGTCAGGTAGAGATTAATCGTAACTTAGCCACAGTAGGACATCTTTGGGAGTGTTTCTTCTACCATATAACTTATTTGGGGTTTGGAGACAAAATCGCACACTAAACATGCTCGCGTTTTTGCTTAAGATGGTCAGCGCCTACAGAGATTAGACACTTTCAGAGGTATAACAATTATAAAACAGCCAATAGCTCTACATTTATTCTAACTTTTCCAAATATTGATGAATATCCAGAATTTGGAAGATCTTATAGCTACAATCCGGAATTACCTGATCTCTTAAAGTAATTGTCATGTACTAGAACATAGATAAGTATCTTCTAGAACCATTGATAATTAATTATTTTAAACAGAAATCTCATTTAGCTAATCATGAAAACACAAACTAAGATTTATAGCATCTCAATAAGTTTTTTTCCAATTACATTAATTAATGATTTAATTTATGTATGGATTTAACGTGAAATACAATTTGAACGTGATAATTTCACAGAATCTTCACCAATTCATTTCATTATATTTAAACAGATGATCATGTAATTATATTTTCATGTCAATAATTGGAAAAGAAAAAGAAACATACAATCCCCTGCTAAACAAATAATAGAGTGGGTGGGTTCAATAATAAGAACCTGTACTCAAATTTTTTATTTAAAAAAAAATCACATACGTGATGGAAAGGAATGAACCATATTGATATAGGAACATTTTAATCTTAATAAAGTAGGCAAGAAAAACACAATTACACTTTACCATATAATGTTATCGTAGTAAAAAAAAACACTGATTACGGCGGGGAGCAAAGTTATCAGAATTCATAATAACAAATCAGAAAAATTAACTAAGAGCAATCAGAAAATCACATCAATACTAGTGTACAATTGAAATGTAAATGTAAAAGACATTGAGACGAGCAATAAGTAAGTATAGGTAATATTTATTAACTCATTTATCAACTACACTGTTTTGTACATATTTTTGTGAAAGTTTATGTTAAAACCCGTATTGTCAAAACTAAAGTGGATAAAACGGAGTTCGAATCTCTGGTCGATTAGGAGAAAGTCAAGTGCATTAAATATTAGGCCACCTCTCCACCGTGTTGAATTAATAAATAGATATTCTATTAAATACATTAAACTAAGAGACGAATACATCTCATGCACAATAAAGTATACATGATTCTTCAAATATAGATCGACCGAAACAATATAATTTTCACACATTAGTCAGTTATCGTCAATGTTAAACCTCATGTAGACGTAGATTGGCCCTAGTTGTCATACTATATTAGCACAAAAGAAGATGAGTATAAAAAAATGGGATTATTCAATGGCAGCGACAATGAAAAAAACTGAATGCTTAGCATATAGTTCGAAAAGAAAAAGTGGAAAGGTATGTATGAAAGAATACTGGAATCCGAAACCGGGGGAAAGCTACGGCGTGAATGCATCAGCATCACTAAGAACGATTATATTCTCTGTTATCTGAAGTCTCCAATCACTGGTCGTAGTTATCTAGTGAATTGAGATCAAGTAATCTGAATCTACCAAGATGGCTCGAACCAACCGTCAATGACTTCATTGGTTAATGAACGTTTTTGGTCTGGCTGACTTTATATTTCTTTGCATCTGCTCTTAATACAATAACCAACACCATACATCGAGGTAGACAGTGGTTGAACATACGTGATACACGTCTCAAGTACTTCAATCGATTTATATTTTACAATCCTCTCAACTGATTGGTCATATTTGCTTAGGACTTTGTGCTTAACCTCAACATCCCTCACTTGTTCATTCTACGAAAAATGATCAAAAACCTGCAGTCGATGAATGTCGTCCATTTTCAAAGATCATATGAAAATGTATAGATATGTATGAATTGCCCAACAAGAAAATATACACTAATTTATTGATTGTCATATCAAATATCTTTCGATATTTTCAATTGGAAAAATAATATTTATAATAACTAAATCAACTTGTTACAAAACAAATAGAATCAACAATCTCAAAATATTTGATAAGACATAACTGAACAGAAAAACAGACCAAAAAAGAAAACAAAACACAAAAAGTAAATGATAAAACTATGGAATAACAAAAATAAATAAATAAATAAAAACCAAGACTTTTATTACCACATGATTTGTATCATCCTCATTCTCATCTTCATCATTATTTACAGATGATGACAATTGTCTTGCAAGCATAATTTCTGCACGTGGATCAACTTTTCGATAATTCGAAGTCTAAAGTATAATAATAATAATAATAAAATTTAATTAAAGTCATATGTTGTAAAATATATAAATGGTTTAATCATGTTTGAAAAATTTTATAAGATTTTTTTCCTGAATACAACTGAATCTTTTATTCACTCAATTGTTAGATTGATACTTCTTTTTTAAATGGGTAGCTTTTTTTGGTTACTTCAGTAACTAGAATGGATATAATAACAGAGCAAGAATTAAACCTGACATGTAAAAAGTAATTCTAGTGAAGTATGAATGATCAATAGTTCCCACATTGTATATGCGATTGTTTCTGAAATAAATATAAACATGCTTACTCTAGTGTTTAGTATTTTTTACATAAAGTATTACTTTGTTATGGAAAAATACCATCTTTCTAACTGGCTGATTTGTCTTTTGACATGAGTTCGATTGAAGGTTAACTTCAATATTTTGATCTCGTGAACAGTTACTACCCGGTCACATTAAATCTTACTAGCTGGTTGACATATTCCATCCATTAGCATAACAATAATAATCCTCAAACGTTTTTTTCATCATAAAACATCAAAGGCTAACTCATAACAGTACTCAGAAACCTTCATACTATCTGTCTAGTAAAGTTGGTCAAGCTTTCGCAGTAACTCTGTAGACCAAACAAAGTCAAATATATGGAACAGCCTTTGCTGAAATATTCATTTTAAAACATGGTAGAAATTCGTACTTAAAAAAAATTAAAGGCTGTAACTATAAAAAAACGGGAGAGAATTTAATGTGTATCTTTTTCAACATACTATTTTACTAAGCTTAATCTCACATTATATACTTACAGTCAGTTTTTCGAACTACTCGAAAATTAAGTATGTTGAAAATATACTAAAAATAGCCGACCACTTCTTTATAAAAAGAAAACACTTTAAACTAGACTAATTTCACTACGAAACTATGTACAATATTATACTGTACAACAAATTCGATTCACTTAATTGCCTTTTTTACTTTTTTCCCTGTAAAGGAAAGAATTTTTGTTCATTTTACATCCCCCTAATATTTGGCTTTGCATACAGATTTCTTAGTTGTGTTTAGGTTGTTATCCATTTGGTGAAATAACATCGATAATTCAACCTTACTTGGAACTACGGGGTTATCACTTTCGTCATGTTTTTCGTAGCAAGCTTTCATACTACTTATTGATTGATTGAGTAGCCTAACTTTTTGGCAGAAATTATCCATAGATAGGAAGCAGTTCAGCACCATGCGGGCAATTAAAAACAAGCTGAAATTAAGCAGACATAAGCAAAAGCATACATTATCCCTTATCAATCCATCTTATTCGTAAACAAACTACAGATGATCTAAGATCAGTTGAGTTACACTCAAAATATCATCAGAATTTTACAACACCGAATAAGTATATGCTCTTATAAGAGGCAATCAGATATATGGTCATGAAATGAGGAAACTCTAGATCACAACATATACAGTAGATCTCTACTCAGCACTGTCAAATGCACAAAGGCCATACAGAAATTAGCTGGCTGAAATTTATTACACAAAAATTATATCTAAGGTCTTTAATGAAGTTGTACAGAAGTGGACTTTTAACATGTCCGTTTCCTTCTTAAAGTATAGCTGCCTAGAAGTCCTTAACGGTAACAAGGATTATACCTAAGAAAACTATCAAAATATTCGTTTGTTTCGCTTCCTCAAGTGCTGTGATCCAGCAAATCTTTACTGGGGATTTTCCATTTCCTGAAGAGCCAATCGGCATTCCAAACTAGTTTGACAGGATAAACTAACAAACTTCATCAGCCTCATCACAACATTTGCCATTCAGGAAATAAATATGTAACCACTGGAACCTTAAAATATAAAATACGTATTCTGCATACAATTTTAACCGAAATGAAAGAATACAAAACCATATTACGGTGAGGGTCAGCGAACAATCATACTTGTTCATATATATATTTAACGTTCATGGAAAATATTGCTAACATGAGACAGTATGCTCAGATATCTAGCGACCACAAATTTTTGGATCATTCATTCTATATCGTATTATTTTATTTTATTATTTTGATTTGCTACGCATTACTAATTATAAACACGTCGATCATTTTTTAGACGAATCATATAAAACAAAGTATATCACTGACAGTGATGAATTCCGAATAAACAGTATAAAATATAAGATACAATGGTGAAAGTTTTAGGTCGATTATCAGATCAAAACCAATAGAGCAGCTACCTTAGTAAAAATATTAGTATGTAAATTGACAGACTAATTTCTGTTCTGCTCAATAATATCTATTAAAAATAGAGGAGGTTTATTGGAGATTGTGACAGCAGTAACAGAACAATTATAAACCATGATCTACTAAACTATTTTATTATCGCTTAAGACTTTACGCCGATCATAACTTACAGACCAAGATCAAATAGAACTCAGAATCTTCAAGTTTTCTGCCAACTATAGGTCTTTTAAGATAATTGTTATAACCAAGCGAAGATTAAATTACAGGTAACTCCCGAGGCCTATTAATGGACTAATATTCTATAAATATTCTTATTGTAAAACTATTGAATAATTAGATTATGTATATTTATATCCCTCTTATTATAAGCCTTAATTTGACCTATATTTTATTATCGTACGATTTACAATTCTTAAGCTATGCTCAGTCTATTAATTACTGTCCCCCTCGTTCACAGCCACTTTTTGGGTTATTTGTGTACACATGTTATTTTCTATTTTATGGTACGTTGTGGTCTGTCTGATTGATATATAAGCCGAGTATGTCTGAAATAAACGATTCGGTCTGATTCGATTCGATTCTATTCTATTCGATTCATATTACAGAAGCTGGTATTGTGTTCTGGACTCAAGTGGTAGGGCTAAGAGGACATAGGACCAATCAGGACGCTAAACTGCTCATACCGGTTGAACGTCATTGGTTTGGCATAGTGCGAAATTGTATAAGTCGTATTCTGGCTGGTCGATAAGTCGCGTGGTAGAAAGCCAGACATCAAGGTCATAACAATAATGAGTCGGAATTTAACGATCTTAATATTTAACTAAGATAAATTTGCGACCTATATACATTGCTATCGACGAGTCTCTGTCTTGAACGCAAATAAGTTGACTGTGTACGTAATTACTATCCACAATATTTTTTATGGCTTTTCAGTTCTCAGTTAATAAAAAAACTTACTACTAAATATCTATTCAGTTAACATTTTAAAATGGGTTCTATGATCTGTTCAGTAATTCCAGTAGCATATCGACACACCAATTAATCGACATGATGTCTCATTAGCTAACGTTTTTAGACAATGTTGGTCTTTATACGGCGCAAGGAATACCGTAAATGCCATCTACATTGAGAGCGCTATAATTGATAGGTAAGAATGAGATAGTAGCGAGTTGAACCATCTGCTTCTAGGTTCGATTTCCAAACTACCATAATCGGAGACTTGTGAAATCTATTATTTTCCTTAATAAATGTAAGCGCATTGTGTACGCTTCCTAGATTGTCTGAATACTTTTTTCCAGTTTTCCTCAATCTCACTCCTACTCTGTATCTTGTCCTAATACACACAGCACATTCAAGCTAAATGCGAATCACTCTACAGCATACATTCCTAACTACCAAATTCTATAAAATTATCAAATTTAATTATCATACAAATAAACGAAAAACTTCAAAAAATAACCTATTGATCAAACATTCATTATGTGCATAATTTTCAGGAGTGGATTATAATTAGTAACGGAAGAAATGTAACATACAATGAATCATACGCGTAAACACAGACACAAATATGATGAATATTTTATGAAACAAACATTTAATAATAGAAAGATAGATATTTACAAACTACATCGCGTCTATAATCATCATAGTCAAGAAGAAAGAAAAAACCTGTAGTTGATATACAAAAAAATAAATTTTGTTGCTAAAAAAATTGTTATCGATTTGCTGAGTAATCTGATATTTTTACAACCACATAAATTGCATTACGCCTAGTTTTTTGGTATATCTGAAAAAACATGATTTATTTTTTTCCAGATTATAAAGCCAATTATACAATTCGTGAAAACATCTTGAAATGAGACAATGATGATCAAATGGTTGTTGTTTGGTCAGGCGATTGATTTGTGGAGATTAATTCAATTCCAATAATTATTCAGTGACGGAAAATTATTTTTATTTATTTTAACACATAGATATTGGTAAAAGGAGACACGAAATACCTATGCGCCACACAAATCTCATTCGATATGTGTGAGGGCTGTGATACTGCCCGAGTGCCCAGACCGAAGCAGATGGTTTTCTTAGGGGGCCACACCCCGAGCCTTCGACCTGAAGGTCTGATCCACAAGGCAGTAGAGCATCGTGAGGAGATGCAGTCCCATGGAAGCCGGTGACCAACAATTGGTTCATACGCCGTTTGTTCCCACAGGATACTGGAGCCCATGTGCACCATTGGTTTGGAATCCGGTTAAAGCGCCGGACATTCGCTTTCCGTCCTCTCATTTTTGTAAACAACACCTCCGCCACGAGAAGGCAGTGAGTAGAACTTCCCTGTCAGAGGCTATATACATGTGACCATGTGAGAGCATTTCGAGAGGGAGAGCGGACTCTCCCCACTCTCGATGCTATATGTATCAGTTCATTTTTAGTGCAGATCAAATTATATCGATCAATTTGCGACATGGCCACTAGCCTAGGTGATTTGACATCACGTACACTACGTTGGGATATAAGGTGGTGGTTTAAGGTAGTCGATATTGAAACCCTGGATATATGTTTCGTGCTACTTGGCACTAGTAAGCAAGGTGTACTTGTAACATTGAGGGAAATTATGCTCCCTGGAACATTCGATCTCATATCACTCAGTTTCATGAATCGGTTGTTGTTATACATAGAACTGCAAATGAATTTTTGAAAAACTATTTGTGACACCCAAAGTTTAGTTACCTATTTTTGTACAATTTCGAGTTGAGCATTTTTACGACATAATTACTAATATTATGTGTCCTTTATTCTTAACAAGTTTAAAGAAGTTTTTCTGTAATTGGTTGATTGATGTTTTATTATACCGATTTTTCCCTTAACTTTGAAGACATTCCAAAAACTATTTGAGCTTAATAAATATCTGATTGAATTTTTTTTCGAATGATACAAGTACATTTTTAGTCGGAATTTTACTTTTTTTCTGAGTGGAGAAGTGATATTAATTTTTGTTGTCTGAGGTAATCGATGTCCCAAGTATAGAACCAGTAGTACCATATCACATGTATGCAAAAATGATGCGATGTCTAGGTTTGAAATTAACAGTTACGATTGTGTACCAGTCAATTAGAAAAATAACTGACGACAACTTAAAATTATTTAGTCATGCATTTATACCTAGATAACAACACTGCAACTATAAATCAGGAAACACGGTCGACCAACTTATAAACGATAATCCCAGCATAGTTCATAAAAAGGCAACTATGATTGGTATCAGTCGATTACACCACACAAAAAACTTTAAACAATGGAATATAGAGAAGCGGAATAAGATAATCAATAAATGTATGGTTTACAATAATGAAATAATACTTATCGAGTAGTTACGTTACGTATTAATTATATAATAACACATTGATTATAAAATAATATTGAGTAATTAGAGGAGAGAGGATTATAATAATCAAAGTAATTATTCGAAAAATCAAACAGTTGCTACGTTGCATAACATATAAAAAGAAAGAACTAACTAAATATTTTAACGAAAGGTCAAAATTATAGTTGTTATGTAGGAATCAAGGGACCAATGATGAGAATATGTAAAATACAAGTGATAGAAATGAAAAAAATAGTTTCAAACATTTTTGAAGGAAAGGGTCTCATCAAAGTACAGTTACAAACTCGCTCTTATATCGATGACCAAGGTGGTGAACGTTGTTGTACAAACTTCTTTTGCATGTAAAGGTTTGGTTTATGAACATGGATACCGATGGCTTCAGTAATATGCAAAAGACGAACCCGTAAACCATGATCTAAGCTTGATGGAATATAGTGGACAATCTTAAATGCTTCATTCAAGTCAACTTGATGACTTGTGTCCACCAAGTGCACGAGAATAGAACTGATAATTACTCTTACCTATCCTTTTGCTCAACCAAGACGGATGGTGTTCTGATATGCGATGACGGACTAGCCGAACTGTACATCTCATATAACTGACTCCACAGAAACAGTGGAATTGGTGAATACGAATGGATATGGCGAATTCAGGTAGTCTGTCTTTATTAACGGTTCTTATTATGGGGTGGTTGTAGAAAACGGCATTCAGTGAGGCTGTAGTAAATGTTTTCTGTAGTGCCTTGATTAAGCTTTGAGTCAACATTTTCTCGGTAGCATCTTTTAAAAACCGTAATTTTAAGGACAGTACTTTCTTGTGGACGGTAAATAGATATGTTCTTCTCCTCTCTCTCTCTCGTCATCCTGGTTATCGGTATAAGAATGAGTTTGTAACTGTACTTTGATGAGACCCTTTCCTTCAAAAATGTTTGAAACTATTTTTTTCATTTCTATCACTTGTATTTTACATATTCTCATCATTGGTCCCTTGATTCCTACATAACAACTATAATTTTGACCTTTCGTTAAAATATTTAGTTAGTTCTTTCTTTTTATATGTTATGCAACGTAGCAACTGTTTGATTTTTCGAATAATTACTTTGATTATTATAATCCTCTCTCCTCTAATTACTCAATATTATTTTATAATCAATGTGTTATTATATAATTAATACGTAACGTAACTACTCGATAAGTATTATTTCATTATTGTAAACCATACATTTATTGATTAGTGTAGAGCCATGACAAAAAACTAAATGGTAAATCTCTTCGCTCAATCCGTTCTTCTTTCTTTTAAGTATCAAAAGGAAAATGATCAGTTCACTATTCTAGAAAAATTTCCACTAAGTGCTTCAATTGCAGCACAACATTTTATACAACTAATTAGTATATTATTACTAAGTGTGATGAGTATTAAGGCTTAAGATAGATTAGTTGAAAGAAAGCCTTTTTAATAGAATACAAATACGTAGTTATCTTTAAGCCACCTACATAAATATTCTATTAAATAACATCAAATCATATATATATATATATATATATATATATATATATATATATATATATATATAATTGTGCTACATCCGATTCACTAAAATATACGGAAATTACAGCAAATTATGAATTACAATAACAGCAACTACTACACACACATGCGGAATATTTAAACAACACTAACCGTTTCATTTGACGGTAGCTTGGATTCTAAAGCTTTTATACGATTTTTAATAGTATTAGTCACCTCGTTTTGTGCTACTTGCTTCACGATATTCTGTGATTGATTTTCAGACTGTACATTATTGTTATTTATCTCTGGTTCACAAATAGGTCGAACAAAACCAACGGGTTTCTATAATTTTCAGTAAACAAAAAAAAGAAATGTATTTTTTTGGAGAGGAAACTAACATAACAGAAATGTGCATAAAAAGTGATGACGAATAGTCTATTGTAACATTGATGTAATTTATCAAAACAAAAATTTCAGAATAATGAATAACAACAAATGGGGAAAATGTGTATGTCTACAAGATGATCAACATTATGAACCAGCTTAAACCTAAGTGAAAAGTCACAACACTAACTGACAGAAAGTAACCAGACGAATTGTACTTCTGTGAATACTAGTCAATTAAGAATTCGTGAATAAAAATGATTAATTCGGTAATACTAATATCATTTAAAACATTGATAGCTTGTTATTGTATAAATATGGTCTAGAAACAGGAGATTCATCAAAACACTTATTCACAAACGATGAACCATATTTTTTTCAGAATATGGTATTTTCAAATAAAAAAATGCAAGCGAATTTGCCGATAGCCTCGTATCAAATTAGGAATGAAAATCTTCTGTTTTTACAAATAAAGTCAGTGATATCAGCAAAACAACTGATATACAATAAGTAATAAGTCTTTACAGGACATATCTTACAGAAACTGCTAGAATTATTAAATAATTGTGTACTATCAGTTGAACAGACAAATAAATTTTAGTCTATGATTGATAACAGTACACAATCTTTCAAGTTCAACTACATCAAATAACTTTCTTCCAAAAGGTAAACATACATTCAAATTTAAGTCTTGTACATTGACATTTCAAAAACTGGATAAACAAATGATATCCTTGGGTTATTGTAACAGATTTTCGGATAAGTTCAATAATTCATTTAATAAAAAACATCATTTTTACTGAATTTATTATGCATTAACATTAAAACCTTCACGTAGAAACCAAAAAAAAAGAAAAAAAACAACTTAGAAAAAAGAAAGAATTGACTATCGTCTATTCTCATCACTGGTTTATTCTATAAATAATTGAATGTACTCAAATCATTTTGACATAACACAACCACCTTTCATATTCAATTAAGCTTTAATAAAAAAATATAACACGAACTAAACATATGTAACTAATTTGTATTAAATTAATAGTAATAAAATAAAGATAGATTGGTAGTTAATATTATGATATTATGATTCGTATAATAATAATAATAATAATAATAATAATAATAATAATAATAATAATAATAATAATAATAATAATTCTGTTATAGACAAATAATTAGTTAAAACGTCATTTCAACAATAAGAAATGTGATTAAAACAGAGATTAATACTAAATTAATATATTATATCTGTGAATACAATATCAGCATATTAGTGCAAGTATATTGGCACACACACACATACACGTACACTGATAGATAGATCTCAACACGAATATAAAGATTTGACTACTAAATGAAGAAAGTCATTATATAAGAAAGGTGAATATAGATCACGTTGATGAGTTCATTCAAAGATTCAATAAGTCATTTTATCTCATTTGCACATCAATTTCATTGTATTACATAATAAGACAATTATATAAATACATTGTAAAGACTGATATGATATAGTCGATATTAGTAAAATTATTTGTTTATAATATCATATTGCTGAAAACGAGATCACTAAGAGAAATTTTATATTTATCTGGTTATCATAAAATCAGGAGATAGTTTCCTTTTTTCCCCATAAAACTAAACAGGAATTGAATAAAAATATTTGACACAAAATAAGAAATATCATAAATTCAACAGTAGTTAATAATTTAACGTAATGATTTATTATGATAGCTCAGTTGAGTAATACAAACTGAAACATTCCTTTCTTGAGGTTATTTAATTAGTTAATTTACTTAAAATCTGATACAACCAAGCGAAAAAAATAGAATGTGCTACAAAAATTAAAATTTGTGTTTGAACTGGAATACTGCAAAGCATTCAAATCGAAGCATGTGGTTTTCCTAGTGAGCTGGTCCCTTTGACTTAAAAATCTAACCCACGAAGCAACAGAGCAGCCGTCCTATGATAACAGATGGCCAAAGGTAGGTTCATACGTCATACATCCCTTCAAGGTGCTAGATCAAATATCCACCACTGACTCAGTTTTTTTAAACCGGTTTAAACGCCGGTCATTCGCTTTTTAATTTCTTATTTTCGTAGAATAACAACTCCGACGAGTGAAAATAGTGAGTAGGGTTTTCCCAGAAGAGGCTGTGGACGCATGGTCGTATGAGAACATTTAAAAAGGGAAACCGCTATAAGTCAAGTAGGATAATTGTTAATGTTTCATACATATGACTAGTCTTTAGTAAATATGAATGCCAATAAAATACCTTCAAATATACAAGAGAAGGTCGGAATCACTCGTCTGAATATGAAGAAAACAATGTCTGCTGAACAGTAGTTTTAAAATTTTAAGAGATCAACTTAAGATAACACTCGTGTAGACATGGTTGTAATTGTTCCATGACAAAATGAATAGCTTACAACATATCAAAAAACTTAATGAATAACCTTTACTTATTTTCAAGAATCATACTCTAATTTTTAATAATCATAATTTTATGAGTTCAACACATGTATCTCCTGAAGGTATTTTAGGTTCTTCTCTTGGAGTTCAATCTGATTCAATACACATTCCCTCACTACATTACTCTTCACTTTTAATAAGTTGATAACCTAATTGCTAAAAAGCTGGATATTTAGTAACACAAAAATCCGGACTCAGTTGAAAAACTGAAAGTCAGTGTGTAATGCAATTTTAATACTAAAAAGACGATTGCCTGACAAATCTTTAACCGTAGTTTGAAGTTATACTTGTTGTTTTTGATAATCAAGACAGCCAGAAGATAACGTCTTTCAACTCTACACCACCTAACGAACTCTCTGAAATAAATTAACCCCCATATAAGTAGCGTATCTTAGTCTTTATTATAAAGTCTTATACATAGTTATCAAGTTATGTTCCAATTTGGCGCCTTGAAATCGATGAGATTGCTTCCGCAAACATTTCATGAACACAACAGAGGATACTAAGTCCAGCAATCCAGTGCATTTGACTTAATGAAAAGCACCGTTTACAAGCATCTACTGACTTATACGCGGTACTGAAGATTTCACTTAATTGCGTAAATAAAATACTTCTAATTGTGAATATGGAACACATAATACTTTCAAAGTCTGAGATGATATGACATAATAGATATCATTTGGTAAATATATAATCACTACACATAATTCTGGACGTAATTCTGATACAAGTAGAGAAATGGTTTAATAGTTTAGATTATCAACTACGTAACACAGTCAATCAGTCAGGTCTATGATTCTGAATTATCCCTTGATTCAACATACCAAAATAATCTTTTACACTTTCAAAGCTAAAAAATAACGCGGAATTGATTGGTAAACATAAACATACTGTTATGGACAAGTAGAATAAGTCAACAATATAAAAAGTGAATATTTACAATAATAATAATAATAAACTTAAACCTACTGGTACCTTGATAGATCTTAATTTTGATGAATCTTGTTGCTTTTCCTGTTGTGATTGCCAAATACTTCGTGATACACAACCTTTTGGAATATCTTTATTTGGATTTGCACGTACATAGACAGAACCCTGTAAATAATTAATTAATAAAATGTTTAATATTACAATAATACCAGAAGTATATTTTTCTTTTCTAATACAGATTATGTTAACATTATCAGTAATAATTGAAAAGAAATAATACGTATTACTTTCACGCTAAAAGGAAATATAAAAGAACTGAAATTTTGTTAGCATGTACTTTTCTTAAGATGAAAATATTATCAGAGGATTGACAACAAAAACGAATAGAATACAAACAAATACGCAAACATCCATATCTGTATGAATGTCTGATATCTGTCTATTTCTATTTGTATATCTGTACCTTTTATAAGTGAACATAGATGAATGTGTTGGAATGAAGTCAAAGGTAGAAAACTAAATCAATTAGGATATAAAGCTTAATTAGGACAAACCTTTACTGAATAATAATAATAATAATAATAATAATAATAATAATAATAATAATAATAATAATAATAGTCATAATAAAGATAGTGAAAAAATCCAGCTTTTATTAGTCCTACAAGAATATTTAAACAAGATGAGAAAATCAAGTTGTAGACCGTAGATAACTAGGAAATATTTTAGACAGTTTGACCTTAGCTGTTTAGTAAAAGAAAAAAAGAAGAATTTCGTCTAAAAACCAATAGTTATTCTCTAACTAACGTCTGATGAGATTTTCGTTTACTCCTGAGATTTTTAAGGACGGTGGTTCAGTATTAGCAGTGAGATTAACTGAGGTCTTAGGTAGAATTTGGGAACTGGACGTAATCCCATCTGACTGGTCTCAATCACTGATTGTGCCAGTTTTTAAGAAAGGACAAAAGTCCTCTTGTGACAATCACAGATGAATCAGTTTGACTAATATAGTGTCTAAAATATTAGCTTCAATAATACTTTGACGCCTAACCAAAGCTCGTGAAGAGCAGACTAGAGAAAATCAGGCTGGTTTTCGACCTGGACGTGGTTGTATAGATCAGATATTCACACTACGTCAGGTCCTACAACACAGACACACATTCAGACGCCCCACAATCGTAGTATTTCTCGACCTTAAGGCGGCATTCGACTCTGTTGATCGTAAGGTTCTGTGGCAGTGTTTGTCACTGAAAGGAGTACCAAAGAAGTACATTAACCTTATAAAGGCTCTCTACTCCAACACAACTGGTCGAATGAGAGCTTATGGCGAACTGTCATCAGAATTGATTACCTCAAGTGGTGTTCGTCAGGGCTGTCCACTCTCCCCATTCTTGTTCAAATTTGTCGTCGACGTACTTTTAGAGATAACACTTTCCTCGTCTAGATTTCCAGGAGTTGAAGTTCTACCGGGAGGTTCACTTGTTGTCTTGGAATATGCCGATGACATAGTTTTACTTGACGAAGATGCTGACAAAATGCAGAGTTTTCTGACCACTCTAAGCAATAATGCAAGCATGTTCGGCATGCGATTCTCCCCCTCGAAATACAAAATGTTGCTTTAGGATTGGGTTGCATCGACACCCGAACTAATGATAGGGAGTGAAGTAATTGAGCGTGTCGACCGCTTCACTTATCTTGGAAGCCTCATCAGCCTTTTTGGTCTGGTGTGTGACGAAATCTCAGCACGGATATAGAAGGCTCGACTAGTTTTTGCCAGCTTGCATCATTTATGGCGTAGGCGAGATATCCGTCTATCAACCAAAGGATGTGTTTACTGCGCAACAGTTTGTTCCGTCCTACTTTATGGCAGTGAAACGTGGCCGGTAAGAGTAGAGGATATTCGTAGGTTACTAGTATTTGATCATAGGTGTCTTCGAAATATTGCTCGTATATCCTGGGACCATCGAGTAAGTAATGCAGTTGTTAGGAAACGGGTACTAGGTAAGGATGGCAAATCGGTTGATGACGTAGTGAAACTTGATCAATTGAGATGGCTGGGACACGTGCTACGTATGCCCAACCACCGACTGCCTCGATGTTTTGTTGTATAGGAGTAGATTGGAAGAAAGCTAGAGGCGGCCAGACCAAAATATGGCACAAGTCCATGAAGTCACTGACACGTAGACTGAGTCATATTGGTAGGTGTAGACTACCAGGTTGGGGACGGCGAGATGATAGCAACCGATGGTTAGAGACCCTGAATGACATGGCTCAAAATCGTTTGCAATGGCGCAGATGCATCCACTCTCTGTGTTCTCCCAAATTCTAATCTTCTGAATTCTCCATGTCCCTTTTTTCATCTTTCCAGATTTATTTCACTGGATTATACTCCTTGAATAACATCTCCAAACCTTAAGTTTTCTGATTACAGCTTATAATTTTACTACATCTAGCACTAAGGGATTTGAATCGACCACTGCATCTCTGTGCTAATGTGGTGTGGCAACTCGAACTGATGTACGTACGTAAGAAGTTCTACGTTGTTACTGACTGACTGACTGATGAGATTTTCACTGTCTTTTTTGGTAATTCACAGAATCCAAAATGCAATATATTCTTACAGAGAATTTAGGAAAACATTCTGTATTGAAATGTTTATATATTATAGTGGTTTGCTAAATACCATGGAAACTTTTCTAACAGTACTAGGGAAGTTATTGAGATTTTTAAACTAGAATTTAGAAGACATACAACAAAATTGTAAAAACATATCAGCTAAATGGAAAAGACGCTCCTAGTTATAGTGAAAATATTCCTTAAAATTTAATTGACACGATATTATGAGATGTCTTTAAGTGGTAATTCTTTCTGTGCTATCAGTAATAGATCACACACACAAAGAAAATAAGTTCAGATAAGAAATATCAGCTAGAATAAATGGAACTGTTTTTGTATGCACCATAATGCAAAACATAAAAACAAAAAAGTTCAGTTTATTATTAAGTCTGACACAATTGAAAATCATATGAAGTTTGTGACAGTGAACTTGTATTTTAAAAAAACACGTGAAAGCCCTAATTTTAAAATCAATTTACATCAAAACATTAAAGAGTAGTATAAAACTAACTGTAGGTACAAACTCATCATCTGTATTATTAGAATTGGTCGGTTGAGTATGAGAAACACTTCCTGTTAAATTTTGAACTTTAGTAACGATTTCGTTCCAATCCAAATTTGCTTCACTTCTTGCGTTGATCGTAACATGAACTGTCTATTACGAAAATAATTTTAAAAAGAGACCTTATGAAGTAGTAAACATTTCATATGATCTAATAGCTTGATGACAATGTTTAAGGAGAAATTATACAACATAGTGTTAGGAAACTCCGTTGTATACCAAAAAAAATTTTCGCCATCATAAAAATTCCAAAAATAAACTAAACAGTTTTGTAACTTTAGGAAGCGAAAATATTTGTTTTCTAGTGCAGGGATTAAGAATTAATTCATCAAATGTGAAATATAAAGTGACATTTTGTCTTAGCTTATTAGTCTAGACATTTTACAAACAGCCGTAAGACAATAAGGTTTCAACCTTGTCACATTTACTACCGTGTTGAAGTGATAAAAGTTTAGAAAATAAAATATAAACATTTGGATAATTTCCTACGTGTATTAGAATTCTTACTAACGTTATTATTATCACCATCATTATATTAACGTATTGATACTGACCAGTAAATTAAACAATGAATTTGGACTTTTTGCGGTTTCACGTTTGTTAATGACTTAAGATAGAACTGAGAGCATGAAGAAGAGAAAGAATCCACAACCATCTGATTAACAAATGGGATTAAAACTGAAATTAGTGTTCGCGGGAAACATCTGCAATTGTAGTCATCTAGATTAACTTAACATACACCACTTGAGGTGATGCGTTATTCACATCTGCTTCCTAATGAATTTCTAGTAAGCACAAGGCAATCATAGGTAAAGAAATTTAAAGTCAAGAATATCCTATAATTTTACCGTTTTAAGGGCTTTTATTTACAATTCTGGTCCCCAAAAAAGGTAATGATTAACACTCCTTTCTTGATTTGAAGCGCTGATTTTTGCAAAATAAGAAAGGATTTGTCAAAGTACCGAGTTCGTATTTCTTCAGCTCAATTAAACCATATTTTAGATATAGTGTTTGGTGCGTTGACATGTGGTTATTGAATAAACCGGAGTCTAAAAAGATCATAACGTTCCACATAAAATGACTTTTAATATTATAGGAAGTTTCAGCAGTTTACTGCTTATTTAAGCACCTCATACTAATTTATATTGATGCGTGCTCACTTTTTTTCGATAAAAAGACAATAGTTAAATAGAACATGATATGTAAACTACGCAAACTGAGTTGTCCTGCAATTTAATTGACTTTTCTATCCTTTCAGGTACCATTTCATGATATTCATTACTAATTTCAAGTAATTGAAAGTTACATCTCCATGGTAAGAGTAACTACCAAACATTATATATAAACGAGCTCTTTGTTATCCTGAGTTAATACATCGATAATGTAGTATATCTTTCTCACAAGCAAGGGTAATCGTTTGGTATGTCATTGAAAAAACGACTTCCCAAATATATTTGCAAGAAGCCTGTCACCAAATGAGAAAATATACATTAACAAAAAAGCAGAAAACTCTAACCTCTAGTGATTTAGAACCAGAATCTTGAAACTAGTATCTTAAGAGTTAAACACGTTTTCACACATCATAAATATACTGTGTAAAGCAGTAAACTAATTATCACGCATAAAATTATCTGCTTGAAAAATTATTACAACTAGATCTGAAAAAAACGGTAAGCTATTCCGTCATTGTTTACAAAAGCACCAAACTATCAACACAGGTGAAGCATTGTCGCTTAAATTGATGCTTAACACTATGAGCAGTTGTATAACTTATTTGAAGGACAGAGAAATGCTAAGCTATTTTGAAAACATCTACAGGTCTAGTATTCATGTCAATCAACAATCAAGGGACATGTATAAACACTAATAAATAGTAGTAATAGTTATTCCGAAACATATATTACAGTATTATAGAAGCTAAACATTGATAAGAAATCGAGATGGAGATTTAGACATAAAAAACCATAATTTTCAATTAACAACAGCACTCACAAACTACATAGCCTTAAAAACGTGTGGGGATAACTACCCCAAGAAAATAAATGAAAGTGACATATTAACAATCCTCAAACTTGAAAAAAAACATCCTTTTAGTTACCAATCAGGAGTAAATTAAAATCAACATATCGTAAACTCACTCGGCATAGCCGTTTCACACAGTCGATATGTCTTGGACAAGCTAATTTAAAGCTTTCAGACGACGCCTCCCCTTGCTAATTAACATAAAATTAAGAATTATAAAAATCGGTGTTAAAATCAAGAACAGTTCGTAAAAACAAATTTGGAGCGAATATGGTCAATCGTAAATAAAGTATCAGGCGGCATATCTGCCATGGAATTCTGATTCGAAATTCTATATTTCTGTAGTTAATGGAAATTTTAGTGAAGATACATACATCAGTATTCCAGAGTGCTGAATCAATCGGGAAACACTGATGACAAAAATAATGTAGAAGTTTAATTCTGATTACAAGCTATATATAGTAAAAGAAACACTCCCAAAGATGTCCTACTGTGGCTAAGTTACGATTAATCTCTACCTGACAAATGAATGGTTTCGATATACTTGACTTGTCAAAGCAGATCAAATTCGAACACAACAACAGTCAAAGTCAATACTAGCTAGGAAAAAAACTCACCAGGTTATTTATTTTCCCTCACTTGATACACTCCGTCCAAGTAACACAATAATCACTGATCCCATTTTTTTATTTAACCTTGTCATACACATGCGTTTAGAGATGACGCTTTCATCACATGACTTTTCAAAGGTTGATATTCTACCAGGAGATACGCTTGTTGACTTAGAATACCTAGATGATCTAGTTTTGTTTGGTGAAGATGCTGACGAAGTGCAGAGTCTTCTGACCACGTGAAGTAACAATGCAAGTATGTTTGCGATTCTCTCCCTTCAAATCCAAGATGTTGATTCGGGATTGGTTCGTGTCAACCACTGAATTATTGATTGGCAAAGGAGTAGTTGAATGCCTCGCCCAACCCACCTATCTAGAGAGTCTTATCAGTCGTGATGGCCTGGTGTATGACGAAATCGCAAAACTGATTCAACAGGCTTGATCGTCTAATGCCAACACGCGTCAATATCAAACCTGATGTGTATCTGCATCGGTTTAAATTCCATACCCCATTAACACAGAGAAATTATATTCTCAGACCAAATCCAAGAATAGTACAGGTAGTAAAGATATCGACAGTAATAGAAAAGATTGAGAAATGAAGGCACAACTCGAAAAGAAAATATAAATTTGTGCAATAAAAACAAAGAAAGTTGTGAGGAACCAACAACCCCAGCACTTGGGGGAACATTAATGATGGATGCATCTGTACTAGTGAAAACGATTTTCAGCCATGTAATTCAAAGTCTCTAACCATTGATTACGATAGTCGCACAGATCCCAACCAGATAGTCTACACCTGATAACGTGGTTCAGTATGATTGTTAATAACTTCATGGACTGATGCCATGTTTCGGTTTGGCCACCCCTACAATCCTTCTGATCTGCTCTTACACCAGAGGACATCAACCGTAGAGGTAGGCAGTTGTTGGGCATACGTAACACATGCCAATCAACTCAATTGATCAACACTTACTACTTCACCGACCGATTTGTCATATTTACCTAGTTTTCTATTCCTGGCCATGACATTCCTCACTCGGTGGTCCCAAAATACAAGAGCAATGCTTCGGGAACACCTACGATCGAATGCCAGTAACCTACAAATGTCCTCTAATCTTAATAGCAATGCTTTACACCCATCGAGTTGGATAGAGTGGACTGCTGAACAGTAAACTCGTCCTTCGGTTGGAAGGCCGATATTCTGTCTGCGCCACATGGTGTTCATTCAATATATGACATTCTTGGATAAAATTATGGTTAGCTAAGTTCATTATGACACGCAGCGTACGATTGTGCTTCGATTTCATATGCGTGGCTTTTCATTAATTAATAATCAAATGTGTGAACATGTCCATATATAAATGAACGTATTTTCGACTATTGTGGTCATTGTGTCATTGAGGTAATCAATATTCACTTGTACTAGTCTTGTGTTGTTATTTCGCAGTGATTCCTTGTTTTTCAAGTATAAGTAATAAGCCACGTAGGTAATAGCAACTGGCAACGGAGAAAATTTGCAGGTTTCAATTTTTAATAAAACTGTCTGGTTACTGTTATAACTCCATTTTCAGCTCAACTAAACCCAAATTCAAACTGCCTATTATAAATAAACTGCATTGTCTAAGTCACTTTCACAATAAACGACGCAGTTTCAAAAGTAACATGTCAGTTTAGGTCACAGAAGTAAAATCAATGCTTTAGTTTAATAAAGATGTGTTTGTTAAATTTCGTCTAGTGCCCACCAATTCATTGGAGGAACACACGCTCAAACAATCAGACCCGGAATTTCACTCAAAAATTATGGATAAATTAACGAGATGACTGATATATTTTCTGCGAAAACAACACTTCCATTATAGGTGAGGCCAAGAAATTCTTCAATTAGGCAGACTCTGGGCAATGGTCTATTGTTCTTTCACCAGATTCCGCTCATTCTAATTACTCATTTACATTGTGTGAAATTTACAATTGTTGTGAGACAAGTGTACCACTCCTAGACGGAAAGAGAAGACTGATAATTTGAAAGGACATTCTAATAAGGTTCAAAAACCGAGATCAAATTGTCTAGGTTTGGGGTATCGCCTCTCAAGTCGAGTAGTGAAATACTGGAATACTCCACCAGAACATTAATAAATAAAGCCGAATTGTCAAGATCAAGTATATGAATAAAAGGGATGACCAAACAGGCCGGGTCATCAACGTTATGATGGTTAAATGTCTGATTCCAAGTGCTAATTTACACCTAGAATTCGTTCTTCAACTCCAATTACGTTGTAAGGACCAGATATCGTACTAATATATTGATGTAGGACATCTAATTTGGTATATTAGCCCCTGGATAGTGAAAATGCGAACACCTACATTTCAGAGTATAGCACTAAGCAACAACAACCCAGCCAAAATATATAAATCAACGGAACAGAAAAGCTTACCCACACAATTAAAACAAATTTCGCAGGAGTTACAACGTCAACACGAACAAAACCATAAAGGACTTTCCCAGAAGAAAAATTATTCAGAAATTGATCCAAATCGTGACCTGATAAACACAAGACATACCATGAAATAGAACGAAAACGGTAACCTTGATCTTTTACGTCTAACGTATGAGTTAGTCCCATATATCCAAAGATTACCCTAAAGAAATTAACATAATGTGCCATTTTTACCAAGACCATTTCCCATCCAAAACATAATTAACTGCTGAAAGAAGAGCCTGTCCATTAGTATTTAGGTCGATCATAACACAGTTCGCAATTGCCCGCCTGTGACCTTGATGATATTATTTTCAAATCTCCTCTAGATGATTCCGATTACTCAAATGAATCTGAAAAAAATAGAACATTTTTTCGTTCAATTCAGTAGCGCTTCCAAAAGTAATGAATTAGCATTAAACAGTAATTTTAGCCCAGAATGCGCTCTTGAAATACTTGCGAAATCGATTTTGTCACCTCAGTCTCATGATCTTCACTACTCGTAAAGAGTAGGATGTATGTCTCCAGTCACGTTTATTAGATTGTACCTCTAAATTCAGAGTAATCTAACCTACTTTGAGTCCGTTCTGAACTTAAGAAGATAAGCTGGAAGGTGATGAGAGGAGTTTAGTATTTTGTAGGTCATCAAAGTCACCTCTGAGCTACTTATATTCTAAAGAGTTGGGATTCAGTGACGAATTTGAATTTGAAAATAAGAAAGGGATATTTTGGTCGCCTTCTGATACTCTTCGGCGTACCTATATGTTCCTGGGTTGAAGGGAGAAACACAGTTCCCATAGTCTATATACTCTTCAACAAACATCCGAAAATTTAGCGGAAAATTCTGTCGTCACAGTAGCCAACCAGTCTTCAGTAATAAGGATATTCGGTCAATAGATCCAAGATAATCCTTGCGAGTTATTTTTCGAAGAAGGTCCAGCTTCTCCTGGTGAGGCTGATACCTGTTAGTGTAAGGCTATATATGCCACAGGTATTCTGAGTTTGATGACACCTTTCGCAGTAACACCTTTGTAATCGAATTTTGCCAAACTAGTCAGGGCAGAATTTGGATGTCAGCAGAACTTCTAGCAACCCCAACGATTACTATAATATCTTTTACTGTACTCTATATTTATTCTTTTTCATTTTTACCGTCGCTTTAGATCGTCAATTACTGTGAATATTCGCTTCTTTGTATTAGTATTTAAACTTGACTAATTAGTTCAACCAGTAGAATTAACCAATCAGCTGCTATTATAATAGGCTATTATGGTTCTCCAACAAGCATTAGAAGCATGTAACTGCTCCTGTGTAGTGTGAATTTAAATATCAACCACTCGTAAGTATAGCCAGAACGTAGCGCAAACACATGTATGTCTATAGCTTACGTAAACAAGACACGATCAGCTGTTGATTATAAACCTATCTACCTGCTTGTCCACTATGAACTACTTTCTGTCAGAAATTATCCACGGAAATATTTCACTTACTTGCCCATTACCTGCCTAACGTCCTACTGCTGAATTCCATCGTCAAACATAGGATACGAATGCCAGAAATTTATGGTAAATCCGAGTTACAAATCTCCAGCAATCTCAGATTATGTTTAGATTGTCTTTCAAGCAATGTTACATGTTTGGCCTAGTTTATTTTTGAACCTATACAAATTCAGTCTACAACCTAGTGATATGACATAAATTAAACCAATAATACCTCATATATAGTTCGAATCCAACTACTATCTACTTCAAATTTCCACTATTTGGAAGTGAGAGTAATACAGGCGAGTTGCATAATTGCATTACAATGATGTTATCATTTTAGCTGATGTCTACTATACTCTTTGTATCTGTTGTTGTCTCATACGGCAAACCATGGCTCGACTTCCTTATTACACTTCAGTAATATTAATTCCGTTTTCGTTTCATTTGCATTCAATACGAGTTCGGAAAATATCTGGACGACCTCTGGAGTTCCAAACGAAAACCAAAATAGTCTTCGTATGTTTTTGTTCATACATTCAGTTGTTACATTAATAATACCTAAACGAACGTTCAGTGCAACTGTCAGTGTATGTAAGAATGATGTTACTTCGATGTGACGCTATAACACATCCGAACCATTGTACTTATGCAACTTCGACGTCGTGCTTTTTTTATGAAATACTGTTTCTGTTATCTAACAGCCAGCTTTTTCCGGTTTAAAATGTTGTTGGTTACGACGGATGTCATTGTAAACTTTGCACAGAATCTGTTTAACTCCATCCGCAGCTCTTCCAGAGTTACTACCGGTCCCAAGCCCAAATAAAGGAAGAGGGTTGTGCATGTGGTTAGCGACCTCATCTCGTAGAAAACTAACTCGCTAGAAAACGTTCACCAGAAAAAATAATTCAAACAATTTAAACTCTGCCCTGGGAGTTAGAAGGTCTTCATTTAGAAGAACTATGACGCCTCATGGTGAAAGCCGAGTTCCTTCGGAAGTCACGAAGCCGATCCCACTTCTAACAACCAGAACAACAATTTTTATGGGTACATGGAACGTCCGGACAGTGTGGGAGACCGGCAAGACCAGTCAAACAGCAACGGAAATGAAGAGATACAAATTGGCAGTTTTGGGAATCAGCGAAACCCACTGGACCCAAGCTGGACAACAAAGGCTAAATATGGGAGAGATGCTACTATACTCCGGTCACGAAGAGGAAAATACTCCAAGCACGCAGAGAGTTGCTCTACTGCTGTCCAAAGTAGCACGAAATGCACTTGTAGGATGGCGATCTCACGGATTCAGAATCATCAAAGCATCATTCAAAACGAAGAAGGAGGGGATCACAATGAATATTATCCAATGTTATGCACCCACCAATGATAGCAAAGACGATATTGAAGACCAATTATGTGAGAGGTTACAATCAACCATGATGAAGTGCCCAAGAAAGGACCTCACCATTCTGATGGGAGATCTAAACGCCAAAGTCGGAATAGACAACACCGGATATGAAGATATCATGGGACGACATGGACTGACTGCGAGAAAGAAAAAAGTGGAGAAAGATTTGCAAATCTATGTGAATTCAGCAAATTGGCCATAGACGGCACAATATTTCCACACAAACGTATACACAAATCTAAATGGATCTCACAGGACCACACTACAGAGAACCAGACAGATCATATTTGCATGAATAAAAAATTCAGGAGGACAATGGAAGATGTGAGAACCAGTAGAGGAGTACAAGCCGAATAAACAGAAACAAACAAGCATGTGGAGAAGAGCATTAGAGCCGACAAGAAGAAATACGTGGAAGAACGATATTTTGGTCCACAACCTGGAGATGTCATAGCATCTATCAAATTGTTGATTATCGGCCAAGCTGAAGTGTTATTAATGCAAAATCGGGCTACTGTACAAAAGATTGTCTCTTCACTCAATCAACGTCCAACTGTTCTTGTGTCAGCATCAGCTGCACGTATTCGATTATGTTACTTAGCTGGTTATGGTAGACGTTATCGTCAAACTCTACTATTCTCTGCCGTATCATATTTTTTTATCACATCATTATCAGGTGAATGTGAAAATTTTCAAGGCCTGAATTACATACCGCCATTATCACATTATCCTGATTTATATCCAACATTTTTGCCCGATTGGGTACGTATTCCTGAACTGAAAGCATCTATTCGAACTGAACAGAAACGTCAACATTCAGATATGAATGCTATAAAGCAAGGAGATAAATCGTTAACAAATTATAACTTCAAGTTACATTCAATTTCATTTATAGTTCCTGGACAAATTTCTATTAAATCATCTTGTACAAAATCGGTCAATAAAAATAATCAATCAGATTCAGACGATGAGATAGAAATTTCACCTAAGACGACAACTGATAATTCTCTTCATTGCCTTTCTAATTCCTGAAAAATAGACTCGTCAACAATTTCACTATTATTATCTACTAAAACACTTGGATTCACTGATTACGCATATTTATCAGGACGTTTCTATAGCCCGATTAAATCCCTTTAAACAACGAATATTACCTAGGCAACGTCGAGGTTCAGATCCTCGTGTTCTTATGTATGTGTCAGATTTCTACGGTCTTGAAGAACTGCGCCAAATTTTACTTGCTGAATCTTTGGATTTTTGTTGTATTAATGAATATACAGAAGACTCAGAAAGTGAAAAATTTCGTACCTTGATTGGTGATGTCCATATTCGTAGTTTGTTATTAATTGAGCGTTATTACTTCTTTTGAAAGCGAAAAATTCGTAGCTCTCAAACACCAATTTTTTATGGTCCACCAACATTTCCATAGTTTGTCAAGGAATTATACGATTTCCGACATCCAGAAAGCGAAACTAGCAGCTGCAAGAGAAGGAAATATGAAACAGCTTTACGATGCAACGAAGAAACTAGCAGAGAGATATAGTAAACTGAAGAAACTAGTCAAGGATAGAGAAGGCAGGCCAATCACTGAAATTCAAGAGCAGCGGAACAGATGGGTAGAGTATTCTGAGGAACTCTTGAATAAACCAGCTCCACTGATTTCACCGAACATCGAAGCAGCACACGCACTGCACCAATGGCGGAGGAAATTAGAATGGCCATCAGACATATCAAGAGTGAGAGGACGGCAGGACCTAACAATATACTAACTGGAGCACTGAGGTCGGACATCCAAGTAACTACAAATATGCTTCACCTTCTATTCAAAAAGACTTGGGAGGAGGAACAAGTGCCGATGGACTGGAAAGAAGGACATCTCATCAAGATTCCAAAGGAAGGAGATCTGAGCAAATGTGAAAACTACAGAGGCATTACACTACTGTCAGTACCAGGGACAGTCTTTATCAGAGTGTTTCTGAACTGGATGAATGACTCAGTAGACGCCCAACTTCGAGATCAACAAGCTGGATTCCGTAAGGATCGGTCGTGCACAAACAGAATTGCAACACTACGGATCATCGTCGAACAATCTGTTGAGTGGAACTCGTCACTGTACACTAACTTCAGTGATTATGAAAAGGCATTTGACAGTGTAGATAGGATAACATTATAGAAAATTCCTCGACTTTATGGATTGTCTGAAAAGATTTTCAACAATATCCAAAACTCATACGACGGACTACAATGCAAAGTAGTGCATTGAGGGCAGCTGACAGATGCATTCCAAGTAAGGACCGGAGTCAGACAAGGCTGTCTACTCTCTCCCTTCCTCTTTCCTCTGGTGGTCGACTGGATTATGAAGACCTCGACATCTGGGGGAAAACATGGAATACAATGGACAGCCCAGAATCAATTAGACTATTTGGACTTCGCAGATGCCCTAGCCCTCATATCGCTTACACATGAACAAATGCAGATAAAGACAGCAAGTGTAGCAGCAGTCTCTGCATCAGTAGGCCTCAGCATAGACAAGGGGAAAACCAAGGTCCTCAAATACAACACGGAGAACAGCAATCCAATGAAGACGGCACAGGTATTCGGCGTTTGGCAACGCTTTTACCAGTAACACCTTCTAATATAACTCGTACCCACCAAGAGAAATCAAAAGACAGATTCGAGGAGATCAGAAGTTGTATTTGACGATTGCCAATATATCGGAATTGTGTGATCTAGTCTGGCTAGCGATTGCGGTAGGTGTTGAGCACGGCGTTCCCACACGTGATCTAGTGCGGATGCATGATCGAGCGCCTTCAGCTGGGTGAGTCCATTAAAACTAATCTGGTCAGCATCCAATGTCGAAAACTTACAGAGCTATTTACTTTGGGGATTTATTTACCGCTACACCGATCACTCTTGATGGCGAATCTCCGGAAGTTATAGAATCCTTCACATACCTGGGAAGCATCATCGATGAACAAGGAGGTTCAGACGCAGACGTGAAGACAAGGATTGGTAAAGCAAGGGCCGCATTCCTACAGTTGAAGAACATATGGAACTCAAAACAAATTTCAACCAATATCAAAGTGAGAATCTTCAATACGAATCTAAAGGCAGTCAGTTCCACTGTACGGAGCTGAAACTTGGAGAACTACAACAACCATCATCAAGAAGGTGCAAGTATTTATAAATAGCTGTCTACGCAAGATACTCAACATCCATTGGCCGGATATCATCTGCAACAGCCTTTTGTGGAAGAGAACAAACCAGTTTTCAGCTGAAAGGGAAATTAGGAAAAGACGATGGAGATGGATAGGACATACATTACGTAAATCATCAAACTGCATCACGAGGCATGCTCTAACTTGGAATCCTGAAGGGGAGCGGAAAAGAAGAAGGCCAGAGAACACAGTTCTGGTGTGTGGCCTATGTTCCTTCACGAGGGGTACCAGGCGTAAGTAAGTAATAGGATCCCTTTAATTTTGTAAAGACCTTTTTATTTTCAACCAGATTGGTTTAGGGATTATTTTGCTTCGAACGTTTACAATATGAAAAACCTTAAGTATGAAGTTTTTCCCACCATCCCAATGACGCCCATTTAGTTGTACCTCTGCCGATTGTCGCTTAGTACCATCAGTCAGAACGAGTGCGCGAATTTTTCGGTATTAGGTTTCATTCTCCAGCACAAGCATTGATAAATTTTAAGAGGCGGCTTTTCTGTATACTTTCAGAATTCACTCTTTATCCTATTCAATAAAGTTTATACTTTTCCTGAAGTTAAAGTCAACAGCTCATTTTTGTTCATATGCTGTTAAGACAATATTTTATTGACTTATTTATTACAAAATTACACGAAATAGGAGATCTGGATGTGGAAGCTAAGTAAAAATTTTCAAGGCTTTTCTTTATTGCCCATTTATTGAGCACCTTGTATTAATATTGTAGATACATATGCCCTTGACCCAAAGTGATCATAAACAGTAAGTTTTCAAAAGTTATGAAACGACTTCTGAAACTTTTTCAAGAAACTGTCTCACTCATAAAGGAATATTTTTGGTCGAGAAATGTGGTAGCTTTTTCCAAAGAAGTAGGTATACGTTTTTCAGACTTATTCATTGTTAAGGATTTTATAGAGAAGTTAGACTATGTTGATAAAGCACTTGAACTATTCACTGAAATTATGAAGTTCCGCAGTATATTAAAGCCATGTGTGACGAAACTTTACAAATCTTGCAGTTTCACACTACTTCCGTCGCTCAAAAGCGAGTTTGTTTGTAAGTTGATTCGCATATGCGCACGCATATATATATATATATATATATATATATATGCGTGAGACAAGTCACGCATAAAATTACCACATAACGTTCCAGTAAATAATCATAACTTTTCACAGTTCTTTTTTATGTCTCATTACTTGGAATGGAGACCTTTGGAGAAAACGGATTGGGGCACTTTCTTCTTTGTATTAAAGTTCAATATTGTAAAGAAGTAGGTTCACTAATATACTTATGTATGTTTCTCTAGATTCTTAGATTTTTATGTTCACCTGAAGTACTGCGCGAGCTGAAATCAGAGTGGATTCATGTTTATGATGAATCGTTTGTAGATACTTTTCTGATTAAACCTCTTGTAAAGTTAGTTTTTATCATGAAAAATGTAATTATTTGACCTCATTTATTTACTGACTTATTATTTGAATTTTATTTAAAAGGACTGTCATTTAACATCAGCAAGCTGTCCTGAAGTTGGTATTCTAAATGTTCATAGAGCATCCACGTTTTAAAGGCAGTACTTCTGTTCTGTTTGGTCTTTACACCTCCATTTATTTCTTAATGACGTTCTTGTTTATGCGATTGTATTGTTTGCTCAGTAACTATCTTATATCACTGTCAATTATTTGTGGCCACAGCTCAAAACATCTCTCAGTTTCACTGGCCCTGCATGTGTATTTTCGAAGTATTTACTTATGCTTGTGAAATTTGACCGATTTTTTTTACTGTAATCGTATTATCTTACCATTTCTAACGGTTCGTCTTTCCTTTTTGCGTCAATTAAACATCTGTCTATTCTTAAAGCAAGCAATATTTTTATGACCAAACTAAGGCGCTAATTAATATGGTAGACAAATTACGAATCAAGGCATGTGAACTTTAGTCATGGTATTGTTACTGTTAACAGTATTGCTTTGCAAACTGACCTCAGTTCGATTTGATAGTTTACTGTTAACTCAACTACTTGGTTGGAATCCTCAATAAGGACATGCACTATAATTTTATGTCCACTAAACTTACTTTGAGTTGAATACGCAGAAACATATAGTTTGTTTGGTGGTGGAACCTGGGACACGCGTTCCGTCCTACTGGAACTCATCGGCTAAACATAGGCTCGAAAGGATCGAATTCATCCTATGATAACCATAGAGAAATTAATTTAACTAATATTGTGTCTAAAATACTGGCTTTAATAGTTGCCTGACGCCTACCAAAGACTTTTGAACTGCAAAAATGAGAAAGGCAGATGAGATGGTAGTTGTAATTATTCAACAGGAAACCTTGGAGATAGGTTTCATGCTATTTGGAACTCTTCAGCAAGGTGTACTTTTAATCTTAAAGGAATTGATGTTCCTTGACGGATTCGATACCGTGTCACCCAGCTTCACATTCAGAGATGTTACCACTTAGCTACCCGGGCAGCGACTGACTTTCTGTAGGATGTATCTACAATTGATCAGTCACTGGGTAGTGATCGGTGTGATGTATGTCAGGTCCTTCTTAGTGCAGATGAAATTATATCAACGAAGTTGCAATGTGATCACTAGTCTAGGTAACTCGACGTTTCGTGCACTATGTTGAGATGAGATGGTGGTTGGAGGTAGTCGATAGGAAACTGTGGATCAGGGTTTCGTTCAACTTGGTCGGATTCGATCTGAATTACGAATGACCTGACACAGATGGCAATGATCATTACCCAGTGATCAATCATTTGTAAACAAGAAGATCAGGCTGGCTTCAGACCTCGTCATGGCTGCATCGACTACATATCCACCATTCGTTAGGTTTTAGAACACAGACATGCTTATCGGCGTCCGACAATGATGGTTTTTCTTTACTTGAAAGCAGCATTTCACTCGGTAAATCGAGAGGCTCTGTGACAGTGTCTGCCATTGAAAGGCGTACTTCGGAAGTACATAAACCTTGTGAGGTCCCTTTACTGAAACACTACCAGTTAGATAAGAGCTTATGGCAAACTGTCATCTGATTTTGCAACGTCGATTGATGTCCGGCAAGGTTGTTCACTACCTCCATTTTTGTTCGATTTCGTCATAGACCTGCTGCTGGAAATAATTTTCTCGTCAACTGAATTTTCAGTTGGTCTCCTACCAGAAGGTTCACTTATTGACCTAGAATACGCAGATGACTTAGTCCCGTTCGGTGAAGAGGTTGATAAATGCAGAGTCTTGTGGTAGCACTGAGCAAGAATGCCAGGATACTTGGGTTGCGTTCTTACCCCTTTAAATGCAGGACTGGTCTGTGTCATCACTTGAACTAAGGATAAGGAGTGAAGTAGTCGAACGGGTTGTCAACTTCAGTTATCTAAAAATTCTGATCAACCCTAATGGGTTGGTGTCTGACGAAATCTCTGCACAGATTCAGAAAGCTCGTTTGGCTTTTGCCAACTTTCGTCACCTATGGGGAAGGCGAGATATCCGTCTATCAATAAAAGGACGAGTATACTGCACGACAGTTCGCTCTGTTTTACTTTACAGCTGCGAAACGTGGTCATTAATGGTTGAAGATATTCGTAAGCTACCAGTTTTTGACCACAGATGTCTTAGAAATATTGCTCGCATCTGCTGGGATCACTAGGTAAGTAATAGTCAAGCTAGACGCAGAGTGTTAAGGAATGATGGTAAATTAGTTGGTGAGGTTGTGAATCTTCATCGACTGAGATGGTTGGGCCACGTGTTAGGTATGCCTATAAACCGACAACCAGTACGTGCAATGCTGACTAGTGAATGGGATGGTTGGAAGAAGGGGTGGCCAAACCAAAACGTGGCATGAGTTCTTGAAGTTACTAACTTCTAGTCTGAGCCATGTTGGGAGATTCAGACTACTTGGTTGGAGTCCGTGTGACTAGCGTAACCAGTGGTTGGATACTCTGTGTCATATATCTCAGAATCGATCGCAATGGCGTAGGTGTATATACGCTTTGTCTTTCTTTAAACTATGAGATCAAAATTATTTTACACCTTTCTTCCTATGAATTAAATATTTCTCTCTGAATCGTATCCTCAATGAAATGTTTTTTTACTACCGCTGAAGTAACCGTTTCTATGAATTCAGTGTTCTTATTTTTGTGCTAATAAGGCATGGGAACGTGGACCGATGTATATATGTCCCTGGTCTAACGTTGTAGATAATTGACTGACTTATGCTCATTCTAGGATTTGAACCCAATATCTCATGTGTCAAACGTTCAGCGCGTTATCCATTTAGGTACTGCGTCCATATAGTTAATATATTGTGAAATAGGCATGGATCCCATTTCAATTTGTAATGGGTTGAATTGCCTTCGAGTAGTGACTAGTTTCAATTTCCTAACTTTAGGACAATAGAGCTAATGGTAGAAAGGCTTTATAATTCTAACCAAAAACCTCCAAAAATAGCTCTATGTGCCAATTACCTCACTCTAAATATGTTCAGTATTTTATTGGTGATAAAAGTTGAGATATATGTTTAATTTTTCATCATTTCTAGATGGAAGCCTGTATTTATATCCCTTCAAAAGTCTCTGGAATCAGAGCAAAGTACACCCGATCATAAGAAAATTACAGGTAACTACCATATAAATACAGAATAAGTCTATATAACCGTATTGAATAGAAGTTCAACCATTAAGGCTAACGCAACCAAAACCCCGATCTATTCTTACACCAGATATTGTAGTTTGTCATAATTTACATATGTATCACTCATGCGAATACCATTTTAGATTCCAAAAATGCAAAAAATGCGCGACCCTCCAATTTCTACTTATAATCAACCACCAGAAATTTCTTTATTACTCATGGAAAAAAACAAGAATCGTGAACAGGTATGTCCTTATGCCCTATTTCTTTACGCACCGTCATCTATTTGAATGTATTTCAGTAAAATGGTTTTTAATTAAGATAAGACCTGAAGGCCCTCGCAAGTTTGCGCGTTAGGCAACTTGTATATCGAAGTTATTCCATACTTTAAAGAGAGCAAGAACAAAGGTTGGTGCAGAATAATATGAATTCATTTTATTTCGTTAGGTTCTCATCAGCTGCTTACAACCTAAAATATTTGAAATTCAACGTTATTATAGATATTGACATACTTATACAACAGAGGGCGATGAAGGATGAATATATGTAACATAATGAGGCAAAGATTTCCTTAGAGTTAATGAGGTCATAAAATTTTGTTTCGAATATATAGAGTTTGGGAGGGAAGATTCCAGAACATTGAAATAGTGATTAGAAATCATGGAATTAAAACACATTAGATTATTATGCAATGAAGTAACTGAAAATAGATTAATGTTTATAAAGAGAGATATGAATTGAAATTGGTCAGTTATGAATGATGTGATTATAAAATTCAGAAAGAGTTGGAATGACGTAGTGAATAAAGGGGGGGGCGGTAATGTTAACACGGCAAAGAAAGATTTATTACTGTTTCTTTTTGTATACAAAGATCTGGTTTTGAACGTTTGATTGCTATTGCTTCGGTAAATTTCAAAAGGTTTGAATTTGATTGTTTGTTGATCACCTTGAAGGACTTCAGTATATCGACTTCGTGTCCTGTGTCAAGGGGATGTCTTGCGACAGCGCTGCTAAATGCTTTTAGTCCGTTTGATCTCAAACTGTTCGGAATATGTTCTTTGAATCGGACGTAGGCTCTCCTTTCTGTTCTACCAATATAACTGCTTTGGCAGATACATGTAAATTTGTATACACAGTTGGTGGTAACATGAAAGAGATACCTGTGGACCTTTGATTGTGTCAAAGAAAATGTCGTTTTGGACAGGACAATCAATTTAGCTGCAGGATATGTTTTTGTCAATGCAGTTTTTAGTCTCATATTGATTGACCCTGTGACATTATGGCCTTCGAATTTGAGTTGAATAAAAACAGGTTTTCTATTTACTGTAGTTTCTTTGGGTATTTCATCTTCACGTTTTCCATATTTGTCAATAAATTTCATCGGGTATCCGTTATTCCTTAAACACTTTTTAACATTCATAACTTCTTCTTCTATTGTATCGGCAGTACATATTCTTTCTGTTCTGTGAAATAATGTTTTGACAAGTGCCTTTTTATAATTGATTGAACAAAAGCTGTTGAAATTGAGATAAATACCATTCCATGTGTCTTTCTTATAAACTGAGCGTTGAACTGTGCCTGAACTGTGCGCTGTCGCAAGACATCCCCTTGACACAGGACACGAAGTCGATATACTGAAGTCCTTCAAGGTGATCAACAAACAATCAAATTCAAACCTTTTGAAATTTACCGAAGCAATAGCAATCAAACGTTCAAAACCAGATCTTTGTATACAAAAAGAAACAGTAATAAATCTTTCTTTGCCGTGTTAACATTACCGCCCCCCCCTTTATTCACTACGTCATTCCAACTCTTTCTGAATTTTATAATCACATCATTCATAACTGACCAATTTCAATTCATATCTCTCTTTATAAACATTAATCTATTTTCAGTTACTTCATTGCATAATAATCTAATGTGTTTTAATTCCATGATTTCTAATCACTATTTCAATGTTCTGGAATCTTCCCTCCCAAACTCTATATATTCGAAACAAAATTTTATGACCTCATTAACTCTAAGGAAATCTTTGCCTCATTATGTTACATATATTCATCCTTCATCGCCCTCTGTTGTATAAGTATGTCAATATCTATAATAACGTTGAATTTCAAATATTTTAGGTTGTAAGCAGCTGATGAGAACCTAACGAAATAAAATGAATTCATATTATTCTGCACCAACCTTTGTTCTTGCTCTCTTTAAAATAATAAAGGGAACTATGTGTATGAAATTATTCCATAGTTATATATTTTTATCACTGGAATTTAAAGATTATACATATTTTATATATTCTAGCCTTATTCTTAAGGCAGTCATAAAACTTTTCATATCTTAGGAATATCCAGGTCACTAATGTACAGTTATCAACATACAGAGAAATGCGGGTGAACTTAGTCTAAGGATTTGATTTTTTTTAATGTTGATAACCTTCAGTTGATGAGGTCGTGTTTGAACTCTACCATGTAGAGCTTTTTAAACGATATGCTGTAATGTGGTCTTTTTACAAGGGTCAAGTTACTGTTGTTTGATTTATTTGCGACTGATATGTTTTTTATTTATCCATTAGTCAAACTGTAACACAATATGAAGTTTAAAATCCAATCAATTGATAGTTTTTACATGAAAATATTAATTGAAATTTCCAATTTCTTGCATACGGTAGAATAAAGTCTAGAAGTTCTACATTTTGTAATGATTGTTCGTTTATTATTTGTGAATAGGATATGTAAACGATACTTGATTTTTTAACTATAATTAGGTACATCTTGACATCTTCATGTATTTGATATACAAATATATTCAATAGTTACTGAATTATAATAATATTTCAAATGTTGATGATAATTTCATAAATTTGTTCTTTAAACATTTTGTAAATCCTTACTGAAACATTTTACTGTTTATTTTAACCAATATCATATTTCTATAATTGTTGTTGTTGTTGGGAGATTGAAAAGTTAAAAATTCAAAGTGATAGGCTTAAACCAAAATGTGCAGAAATAATTTATGGTGATGCAAAAACAACGAATAATCAAAATGAATATAACTTTAAGAATGATTCTACAGATAACATAGAAGATACTAGAAATAATAAAAGTATGATGAATCCTCCAGTCAAATTGAAAAGTCAAAGAATTAGCTCAAATAAAAGAAAGTATTTGTCTGCTTTAAACAAAACCGCAGTGGTTAATACAAATGCTGTTAGTATATTACGTGAATGGAAATTGTATTCGGATAGAGAGAGGGAGCAAAGACAAAAGTGAGATTTCTTTGATTTTCGTGTATGAACAGAATTATTTGAAATAGTCAGTAGTATGATAAGCTTTACGCAAATTGGTTTTGTTTGGTAAGGATTTTATTGTTGTAAGTAGGTAAAAGTAGGCTGTTAACTGAACTGACAATCAGAAAAACAAGATATAACCAAATACTTTATTTCACATTCACACTTGTGTTATTCATCATGTTAATCATATACTTTACTGTTTTACTTTTTCAGCTAAGAATAACCAGTTAGAAGAGGTAATAACTTGAGGAAGTTGATTATTTTTAGGTAACTAATGCCATTTCCGAGCACTTTAGGCCACTCGAGAACTTTAAAATCAAAATGTAAAGTGTGATAGATATATTCTGAAGAGCAGTTCCATAGACATCAGTAACGGCTGTCCGGAAGCCTATTACTTGTTTTTCTCAATATTTTTGTTCAGTTTTAAGTCAGTTTTCACTACTTTTATGAATTAAGTGGACAAATATTAGAAGGTGGCTTAGTGTTTTACAAGGTAGTTATGGCAGAAACTTTAAGTCAGTAAGTTTTACGTCTCTGGTATCTGTCAATTTAAATAACTCTGATTCTGTAATTTTTCGAGCTCCATTCATTAATTTTTAATTAAATAGTCAATACTTTTGTAAATTGAACTGCGTATGATTTTCTTACTTATAAGACTATTTACACCGCAGATATTCATGGATTTTAGATAAAATACTGGTCTTGGAGAAATTTTGATGGGAATTCCTGGCGAGACTATAATTTATGGACGATCCAACTAGAAGCGTTTGAGCGATTTCAAAGTCACGGCGCCAATTTTGGTATCCGATGCTCACGTGTGATCGATTTACAGTGAATTTTAGGGAAGACATGATAACTGAGCGGCTAAAACAAGTGGGACTAGCAAGAAGTTCTTTTATTTGTGACTGTAGTAATCAAACGACTGCTGTACCGTTCTCAGACTACCGTGATGAAGTTGTCTTTCAATGTTATTTATCTTGGAGGAGGAAGTCTGCTATAACAGGGACGTGTTTCGCTCGATTCAGATTGAGACTAAGACAAATCATGATAATTGTTGCGAATTGGATTGTAAAAGCACTAGTCACACTAGCTGCAACCTTTGCAGATGTTACCAAAGCTTTAGCAGTACAATGTACGAGTATTGTCGAGATATATGTACAATAAAAATGACAGGCTTATACGAATCGTTCGGGGGAGTCGTAAGAATAGTTGAAATAGACGAAACAGCCCTCACATAAATCGAATGATTTTTGTGGCGCATATCTATTTGGTGCCTTCTTATACCAATGTTTACGGTTAGAGACCAACAGGCAACGACGACATTACCAATTATACGGGGATATTTGCAGCCAGGCACTATAATATATACAGATGATTGGAGGGTGTACAGATGCCCACATAGACTTGGTTATGTGCATCACATCGTCATCCACAAGCGCCATTTTGTGGACCCTACAACCCGAGGTCACACTAACAATATTGAAGCCATGTGGTCGAGGTTGAAAGAGTTTTTACGACCTTATCATGGCTCGAGAGGCCGACTAATATGGATAAGTTTCTCTATCGTATGCATTACGATTTTAGAACCTCTGAACCTCTTTCTAACCTTGAAAAATTTTCGAACCATGTAAAAGAAGCGTATCCACTTTAATTCTTTGGTTTTGTATAATATATTTTTTGAAAAAAACTTTCTGTAGGCTTTGTGAATTAGAATCTGGAGCGTTTACGAATGCTGCTTATAATTCTTGGAAACAAGAAGAAGAGATGAAAATTAAATTAAATCAACTGAAAAAAATGGAACGTAACCGTTTAAATGTAATGATAAGTCATGAAGCATCATCAACAGCTAAGTTTGATCTTTGCTGTAAACGAAAAATTGCGGCTAATAAACTTAGAAATGAAAAGCATGCCAAACTATTGGAATTTTTAAATGAAAAGAAATTACAACAGGATAAAATGAATAAAATAGCCAAAGAAGTTGCTAGTTCACATGAAAATGCAAAAATTGCAAAGAAGAAGTTGATGGAAGAAAAGAAAAAATCAGGTTTGTTCGTATTATATATTTCTAATTAATTTGTGATTTATCATAGAAAATTGTCTGATACCTAATAGTGTCCATTGCTTTGTTAATTCACATTAGTTAGTGATGGAAAGCATCTTCGAATTGTACGAAGATTCTGTGAAGTTATTCCACTTAATAAATGAATGATAACATAAATAAAATAATTAGATTTTTGTGAAATCCCATTGAGTAGAAACCATCCGGTTTAACCTTAGTACTGATACGTACAAATGAATAATAGTTCATGATGTTTTGAAAATGTTACTGTTAGGGTAATTTCGTGGTTGTTATGATTTTCTTACAAGTGATGAAAGGAGAGACTTCTGCTAGAGAAATCAGTGGTCTAGATTAACAACATTATTTTTTAGCTGACGTCTTATATGTTAACGTCTTGTCAACCTTCTTAAGTTAATTGGAAAGATTCTAAAATCTCAAAATGATCTTGTGTCAGGCTAAATTTGATTTTACAAACGTTTAACAAATGGTAAAACTGTTGTCTTTGTTTTACTTACTTTTGGATATGTTTAAGCGCTGTTATATTTTATGACAATGACAATTGTTGGGGTTTAAGTTTTTAACATTTTTAAAATGTTTGATTTTTTTCGTCATACACGCTTGATCGATAGTACCTACCTCTATAAATATTCAGTTTCACGGACCACAACTATCACTAAAGATTTTCTAGGATTGAAATTATTCAATATCTTTCAGATCATATGTTCTCACACATCAATTAATTTTGTGTAAATTAATTAACCTTCCTAATATGATTCTACAAGTTGATTTCACTGGTTTAAAATTTTTACTAGTATTCTTTTTGGAGTTCCATATAAATGTGACTATTTTACATCATAAGGTTTGTATTATTTCTAAAAGTAATTTTGAATAAATTAATTTTTAGCTAGTGAAATACTTAAGGAAAGTAAACAACTGTTAGATGAAGCTGCGACAAAAGCGGAAGAGGAGAAGAAAATGAAAAAAGAATTGATTAGTCAGATTCAAGCGGAAGAATTATCGGCCATAATGATGAAATCACGAAATGTAAAACAAGTGAGCTTAATATAGATGAATCTAAAGTATTATGTGATATTGTTTATGCCTTTTAGGATACTAGCAATAGTCTTCTTAAATAAACTAACGGATTTGTATCATTAGCTGTAGCTAAACGATAACAGATTCGTTTCAATAAGGCTTTTATATAGAACTTTAAACTGCGTTTTTAAACATTTGATAAGTTCTTTGTTACGCTTCTCTTTAACTTTTCAAAAACATTCACCTTGAAATACGGAGGTGAATGTTGAATCGATTTATGAAAGTCTGTTTGAAAGAAACCTAGAACTGATGGGAGTTGGAAGTTTCATTTAATTTTTTTCGTTTGAAAATACTATGGAAAAAATCGAAGCGATATACACTTTTAATTGTAGGGATAGCTCTCTAATTTTATACGCCAAATGACAAAATAAAGTCCAGAACGTTCTGTGAACAATTTTCATTATTCACAACGTTGAGTAAGTTTTAGGAAGGCAGAAACCAGTTTATACTAAGGTGTTCATGGTTATCAGAAGTCATAACGATAAAGCTATGGGAAATTTAGTAGAAAATATTTTTTGTCATTTTTATCATCTGTCGATGTTAGTTATGTCCACAATATCAAGTTAGGTTCCCAAAATGTGCTTTCACTTTTGTTTAATGAAAATCCTAGATAGTTTTTTATCTGAATTAAAAGAAACACTAGCTTGTAAATAAGAATGGCATAAGATTATCTCACATACCTTGCTATTCACACTAATATTCTTTTAATATTTGAGTTTATCATTTACTGATAGCATTCTAAAGTTTGCAAATTTGTTTGGTTCAGGTTATTCTACTTTTAATTTATTTCAGTAGTGTGACAAGAAATCTGGATATTTTTGAATTTATTTGGACATCATTTCTAAATTAATAAACGATGATAGTGATGGCGATGATAATAAAAATAATAATAATAATAATAATAATAATAATAATAATAAGTACATAGTAGTAAGTATCGGATACAAAACATGTATATGAGGATGGATTTTGGATGAGTAATATTGGTCACATAATTATTAGTAGAGACAATATAAAGGAGAATATAAAAATAATATATTTGTAATATCCCAATGAATAGAATAGTACAACGGTTGTACTATTTAAACTTGGATTAATTTAATTTGGTTATTTATTCTCTGAAGAAGTGACTTACACTAAGCCACGAAACGTCAGAAAATCCAATTTTCTATTCATTGGGATATTACAAATATATTATTTTTATTTATAACAATCAACCCAATGCTCAATTTATTCGAAATTATCAAATCAAACCTTGGTAATGACACCTATAAAGGAGAATAATTCAACTGAAAGAGAAGAGGTATGAATCAAGCCGATTTCTTGTGGTACACTCGATGGATTAACACCGAAAAGTTGTAAATATGTATAGTAGACAAATGAATAGCTGGATATTCAAACGAAGTATTAGTTGGCTGGTGATAAATCGTGTCATTAATAACAATCAGATATTACAGGGTAGTCAAACTTGAAACAAATGTAGAATAAATATCTAGTCGTAACATGAAAATAATGGCTTGGATTTAAATATTTGAAATTTCTAAAACATACTTTCATACATAACATATCATCTAATCTACTAAAATCCCCCATTTTTTTCTCATATAATGGTAACAATTTAAACAACTATTATTGATGAATGCAATTAGCAAGAAACGTCTATGCACTGGTATAATTTGGACTTTCCATCATGGTTAAAGGGACAGACACACGATTTGTGATCTTGTTTTGCGTTTAAAACACTAGCTAAAGGAGTTTTAGTTGAATTTTGTTCTTTTAAATACAAATTTAACCTAATCAGACTTCAAATTCTGAATTTAAACAAAGAGATTCTAGTAAAACAACAAACTATGCAAAAAGGTACCACCAGTGAGGGTTTCGGAAATGAAAGTTTATTTGCAATAACTACTTATAATAATTTTTATTCGTAGTGTTGTGGCCCTTTATCTGACTCCAGTAATATCGTATGATTAACTGTTATCGAAATATTTATTTCTCCTATCCTCGTATAAAATCACCGACTTAAATGGCGTTAGTGAATAACGGAATTAAATAAGTCGAATAAGATAATGGATTTTTGAATGCGTATACTTTCTACACTCATTGATTTAGACAAACAATCAGAGGAATGAGGCGAAGAGAAGAGAGCGAAGCGAAATGACATGCGGTGGAGATGGTATATGAGTTAACTCCGTTTAACCAAGCGTTAATCGTTATTTATAGTCACACAAAAGCAAGCTACATACATGTAATGAATGGGATAAGAAAGGTACATACATATGCTTACATAAAAACAGTCAAGATTGATATGTGAATAATTAACAAGGTCAAAATGTGATTCAAGAAGAATAGATAAACTGGCCTATCCATAAGTTAGAATAAGTTATATGAGCTTAACATAGTAACTGACACTACAGTGTACTTTAATTTGCTTAGAAGAAATATATTTATCATCATAGAAACATTTAAATAATGTTTTAATTGATGATAATTATAATTTCGTGAAGTATTTAGCTTGATTAAAAAAACATTCATCAAATGATAAAGAATACAATGGGGAATTCCTATAGAACACTACAATTGTATTTCTATAAATCATGTGTATTTCTTGTTTAAAACTAAGACTATTCTTATGGTATAAATTCAGTTAATCCAGGTATTTAAAATAAAATCATCATTGCAACTCTTCTGTATTAACATATTGACAGTAACTCTTATGAAACATTCTTTCGTAAGTTTTTTTCTTTTGAAATCTTATTGAAAAACTAAGTGGTACCATGAAGTTAAACACAATAAAAGTCAATTATAGTTTAGTATTAAACTATTTCATGCTATAAAGTTTCATTTAAATGAGTTTGATAGTATGATAAAACAACATATTTCTATATGATATGAATTAGAATAGAATTAAAATAGTTCTACATGAGTCAGAAGGATGATGCAATTCAGGTATATGGAAGTGATTTTTATACTAAGAAATATGATGTAATTTTAATGTTGTTCTTTACTTGTATCTTCCCATTGTTATTTAGGACTGTAATTGATCATTTTTATAATATCATTTGTGCATCCTGTGCGGACTACTTCGATATAGCATTAGATCGCAAGTTTTATTAGCAAAGATGGATAGCGGCTAGCAGTGGAATCTAGGACGCGCGTTTTGTCACCCTATCGCACAAGTAGGTGGCTATCAGGACTCAGTAACTAAGTGGATAACGCGATATCCGCACAGGATGCACATTTACCAATATGAGACTGATCAATTGAAGTTGTAAATAACAATAGGAGGATACAAGTAAACAACATCAAGTAAATTTAAAACTTCACACCTTTGCAAGGGCCGGTGGCTATCAGGACTCAGTAGCTATGTGGATAACGCAATAGCGTTTGAAGCGAATGGTACTGGGTTCGAGTCCCAGAATGAACCTCAACTCTGAGATACAGGTATGTCCAGCTGACGAGTCTCAAATAGAGCAAAACGCGCGTCCTGGATTCCACTGCTAGTAACTATTCATCTTTGCTAATTATTACTAACCTTTCGGACAACAAATACTAATAACCAGTCTTTGTCAGATTCTGTGAATAAGTTCTTATTTTGTATTAGGTACTTCAATGTTTTCACTAGCTTGGTTGAATAAACTGCTCCCTTTTTTTACTAAGGTGTTCAGTTCAAGCATTAACCTCTTAATATAAGCAATTACTTTCATGATATTCTTAAGCGAAAAATGAGCACTGTGCTAGACAATATTCAGCATAACCTAGGTGACAGTTCATCACGGAGTGTATGATAGCTAAAGTAAATTCAAGACTGAGTTAGCTATTTGGTTACTCAGTTCATTTGGCAAAATTCTAGCTTGCTAGTTGTTGAGTTGATAGCTGACACCGTATCGTGACTCAGCGTGGATTTCAACTTGACTCGTAGTAATAATTTTTGCTTTAAACGTCTTTGGATATTTAATTCAGTCAGCATAATGTCTGACCACAACAGAAGTAAGAGAGCTACGTGTAAACAGCATCGGAAGACATCGCGATATTCAAAGAATAAGTCGAAGCTGGAAATGTGAAACGATGGATTTTGATCCGGAGGTCTCAATCATAGGCAGCTGTTGAGAGATGTGAAAGTTCTCATCTCAAGCCAAGTAAGGTCCTGATTGTGTTCATTTGAAGAACCTCCTACTAGAATGAAACGGATGTCCAATCCATTCTGGTTTTCAGTAGTTCTTCGAATACTATCATTATATTACAGGATCTACTTAAATGTTTTGAAATAGCTGTTTGAAACGTTTTGATAACTAGATTGTAGCTTACGTCTAGGATCAACATATGTTAGACAGCTACCAAAAATAGGATCGGAGTTATTGTATTCTGTTTGAGGGTTTCTCGAAATCTTTCATTCAAGATTTTAAACTGGATAGAACTCAGGGACTTTGAGTATCAAGACAAACGGAATGCATTTGGACCACTGAGTCGATGGTTCCCATGTTTATTAGCTATGGAAATGAAATCATAATATCTTTCTAGATCACCTAATTAAATGTTTAAGCAATTTTGAAATTGATCATTTTAGTGAACGTAAATTTAAAATCTCTTTAGCACTATTGAACACACTTACGTGTTATGAATCCGGTGTTCATCTTGTTGAGCTAATGAGGTATGGCAACTTGAACCGATGTACATATGCATCTGGTCCTACATTGTAGCTGACTGACTTAGCCCTATTCTATGATTCATTTTGGAATGAGTTTTCTACCTTCCGAACAGATATTGACATTGTATTTTTTAAAATTTCAATACTGTTATGCATATTGAAACAATTTATCGAAACGTTATATACAAAGATGGATAGTGGCTAGCAGTGGAATCCAGGACGCGTGTTTCGTCTTATTTGGGATTTGTCAGCTGGATGTGCCTGCACCTCAGATTTGATGTTCACTCTGGGATTGGAACCCAATGCCGTCCGCTTCAAACGAGTCCCAAATAGGAAGAAACGCACGTCCTGGATTCCACTGCTAGCCACTATCCATCTATGCATATAACGCTTGTGAGTTAAGGCTATATCGAGGCAATACGCACAGTATGCATATATGCCAATAAGAGACTAATCAATTGCAGTCCTAAACATCAATGGGAAGATTGAAACAAACAATCCCAAGTGAATTTAATTCATCAAAACTTTGAGAAACATTTAAATTGATGTTATCAATCATAATTCAGATTATGAGAAATTAATTTATTATTTCCAAATAGAATTGGTTCCAGTCTCATTGGTTATCAGTTTTTTTTAATCAAAAATATAATATTTAATAATTTATGTTTTAGATTGATTTAACCAATACACCCGGACATGGTTTACTAAATGAAATGTCTATAATTGAGTTAAGGGAACGCCTTAATCAATTGAAAATTAATAAACAACGTGAATTGGAAGAGAAAAGAGATGCAATAATAAATGATAAAGAACAAAAAACAAAGGTTTTATTAGAGTTACTTACTCGAATTGGCAAACACAGAAGTGTAAAAACTGTAGCTGCAACGAGAAAAATGGTAAATAATGGGGAGTAAGTTGAAAAATTCTCCATTATTTAATTTTTCTTTTATAATTAAAAGCAACTGAATTTTGTCAACGACTTTCCCCTGTAAATGGAGTTTTAATGTTTAACACCGGTTTACTTGACTAATGCTGACTGAAAAGCCACTAGATATCGAGGTGGATTCAAGACAACTTTTCTCTTTATTTAGGATTACTTGGTAGTGAATACTCATGATACTGAACAGAGTATTCATGTTTAGTATTGTGTACAATAATTTGGTTCAATCAGATGGAATTAAGTAGTCCCACTGTTTCAAAACGATTCCATCCTCAATCTATTCCATTGATGAGTAACTGCCTAAATTTTGACATGAATAATTTCACAGACACGATATATGATGATGGAGCTGTTAAGTCCTCTTTGGTTTACAGTGTTTTTTCAGCTGACATCAGCTGGTGTTATAATAAATATTTAAACGCAACATTAGTTCCAACATTAGCTTAAGAGTATTATCCCCTCTTACTGAAATAAATAGGCTCTAAACTATCCCCAGCTTATTTTTTCCCGCATACACGTACTTTTTTAAAAACATTTCTTAAGTATTCGAACTTCATCAGAACAGTATTGGTGGAGATCCTCTATCCGAGTTTTTTTTTTAAATGTACAAGTATACGGGGAAAAATAAGCTGGAGATATTCACTACCTGTAATAAGCCTCTATTCTTAAAAACTTAGGATTCAAAATATTATTCAACCATCTCAGTTAATTACGAAATGATTACATAATATGGTGATGTATGAAACCAGTAACTTATCGATTACTAAATAGTTTTATTAAGATATAACCTTTGATAAAAGATCTTGAATCCTTATATATAATTTTCTACCTATTTTTACTAGATGATAAAGGTAATAATAAAAGAATGTAAATGTATGCAGCATCCACCATTAAGCTTCTGTATGCTTAACGTTAACAAATAAAATGAAGAGAGCTGACTGTAAAGTGTTATTTTATATGTAGATAGACCCAGCTTTCAAACCATCAATATCCAATTGTTCTAAAGATTAATGAGGATCTGTCAGATTTTATTGTCAAACAAAAAAAGAGTTTAAGGATAATATTAGTATGGGGATTTGTGGAGATTGCAGTATTTTGACAAACGAATTCACGAATTGATCTAAGCTAAAACACTATTGAAAACCCGCAAGCACTGGACGGCCATTTAGTCACAATATGAGACTCCTCAGCAGTGCGCACCCACGATCTCGTACGCATGACTTGAACCCAAAACCTTCGGTCCCTCGCGCAGGCGCTTAGTCTCTACTAAAACCTCCACAAATTTTTGTTTTTATAATAATTATATGCTCACTAGTGAATGAACGTATTACGTTGGGAAATAGAAGCAGATATGAATAACAACTGGGAATAGCTGGAAAGGATTGCCCAGGACAGGGTTGGATGGAGAGTGCTGGTGGGTGGCCTATGCTCCTTCACGAGGAGTAACAGGTGTAAGAAAGTTGGTCACTAATTAATAGCCCCAAGATGGATTTCGTGGAGTTCTGTTGAGAATCCGTGACCAGTGGAGTTCAGTCCGTGTTGCGTGTAAGACAGTTATCTATTTCAGACAATGGATGAAAGGTTGCGCAAGATTGTGGATCGTTTGAAGTCAGACATTAACACCGATGGATTCCGGCTCAATGGTCTAGAGGTTAAGCGTTCGCTCTCGAAACCGAACGTACTGAGTTTAAGCTAATTATTCCTCGATTTCCTAATATTTTTCAGTAATTTCTATATGTTCTGTAATAATTTCTACCTGTTTGCAAACTTATTGATATTTTCATTAATTTGGCAGCATATTCAACTGTAACTATTCTGTTTACATAAATAATGAAGTCATTCGTTAAACCATAAATTATTTTTTATTACTGTTTAACTTCAAACATTTTTCGAATCAATTTTCTGAAACCTACAGGCGGTTTAATTTGATGTCTTATTTTCTTTTATGCATATTAAGGAAAATATTTTGTGTATTCTGAAACTTTTAATTGAATACTGAGTTATGTCCAAATTTGTTTGTTTGAAAAGTTACTTAAATACTTGTAAAAATAATGAATGTTAACTAAGAACTTTCGTCTAAATTTGAACGAATAGTTTCACAATATTTGGGCGCCGAGTTAATATGAGACATTAAAGAGGAAGAATGTCAACATTTAAATATTTAAAATGTGATAATTTGAAAACTGAATAATTCTGAATATTATCAGAAGGGTGTTTTGTGTGGACATTATGATAATTTTACTAGTTAAGATCATGAATCAATCGTAGCTAGACCACCATGGAGAATTTAGTGCCCGTTTGATCTGACTCCTATTTTAGTTTGTATGGATGTTTGCTATCGCCAATTCTCGTCTATCATCGTCGACTTGAATCGCGTTATCCAATAACGAAATTATATAAGTCGAATAACGAGAATTGACTTGAGAAAACATATATTTCGTACATGAAGCGAATGAAGCATAGCAAAGCAAAATTGACACATATGGAAGATGGCTGGGAAGCCAACTCCATCTTTGTCAAGCGTTACTCAATATTTATAGTCAGACAAAATAAAGCTACAGACATGTGATTAATGCGATAAGAAGGGCACACACATATACGCTCATATAAAAACAGTCAAGACTGACAAGCGAATAATTGACAAGGTCAAAATATGGCTCAAGTAAAATGAATAGAATGGGATGTCCGAAAGCTCGAATAAGATATATGGGCTTGGCATAATAACTGACACTACAAGAATATGGAAGCACTGGACAACCGTTTCGTCCTATTATGGGACTCCTTAGCAGTGTCCATCCATTATCCCACCTCGCGAGATTTCAATAATTCCTCATAATTCTTTGAAACTCAAAGTCAGGAATATTTGGTTATAATGTTTTAAACATTTATTAATAATAGAATCAAAGTTTGGCTCTATCAATCGAAGTATGATAAAAGGATTAAAGACATTGACTAAATCATCTTTTTTTGGTTCAATGGAATTGTAAATGTATATTAATACATAAGATATAGGGAGAATTTCGCTGTCATATTTAAATAACAACTATAAACCAATCGATAAAATTTTTTTCACTCAGAAGGTATATTGAACCAGTTTCACTCCGTATGATAATAACACCAATTATCACATTCTCCAAGATTTGATTAATAAAACATATAATTTAAACACAGAGTTTTATAATGATTTGAAGAAGGCTAAGCTTTACACTTTAAAAAATATTTTATTATCAATATATAATGAGTGGAAGTGTAGATCAAGAATCATATTCAAGAGTTTCTGTTTCATTTCAGTGATTAGAAAGAATTTCATGTATAGTATTGTGAGTAGAAAGTATACATTTAGGCAAACAATAAATATTTATCGTATGTTATGATACATGATGATTCGGTGAGACTATAATTTATGGATGAACCAATCAGTTATAAGATAACAGGTTTCAGATTGTGGCGCGAAATTCACTCATCCATTTAGTTAAATAGAGTTTTTACATTATCTCTGATGTCAGTTTGTGATGAAAACTCTAAATTTAATTCCTAACTCTAACCATCAACTGTAAATTATAATTATAATTCTTGACACTGGTTTATCATCCTCATTTAGTCCTTGGAGAAGATTTGTAGCTCAGGTGGATGATTTTGATGGAGTTTTGTTCTCTGAGCTGGATGGTTTGGTCGTGGAGCTTTCATTGTTCTTCTGAACGACATCATCAGCACAAACTTCAAATAGAAGTGAAGTGTTTGAATTTCTCCATATGTGTTTCAAAGCTTGTTCTGTGCACCTCGATGTGGAAATCTTAGACAGAGGAAACTCCAAAAACACCAGAGAATTTTTAGAAGCCTGGCACTCAGGTCAATCAGCAATCAACAAGCATATTGCAATCAATCCAATTTATCAACCAATCAGAAAAATCATGCACAAACATAAGAACAAAAATCAAAACAATGGGAGACACAACCGAAACAAAGAAGTAAACAATGACGAATTAAAAGTCAATAAGTACCAATCAACATCGAGGTGCACAGAACAAGCTTTGAAACACATATGGAGAAATTCAAACACTTCACTTCTATTTGAAGTTTGTGCTGATGATGTCGTTCAGAAGAACGATGAAAGCTCCACGACCAAACCATCCAGCTCAGAGAACAAAACTCCACCAAAATCATTTAGTCCTTGTTATTAGGTGAATATTCTCAAGGTCACTTGGGCGTCACTCAAAGGTCGTTCATAAATTATTGTCTCACTGATTATTCTTATATTCTTTACATGTATGTGTGCACATTTAACCATACGAAGCTGTAATAATTATACAGAACATCAAATTATTACTATTATTATTATTATTATTATTATTATTATTATCAACATTAATACTACTCATTAAATTTTATTAACTTGTAACACTTTAAAATAGTTTAATTAAATAATTTTAATTGTATTTTGTTATTCTTGATGGGAACTTGTCATATTGTTTATTTCAATAAATAAACAGTAATTCGCTTAAATTAACTCGACAATTTAAATGTGTGTGAAAAAAGTTGTATTTTTCAAAATAAAAACAAAACAAACAGTAATAAAATTATATGAATAAATCGATCACATCTAAAACAATCACGTAGTTACATTTATATATTGTCGTTTAACTTAGCAACTATGTATATATGTATTACTCTTTAAATTTATAATTTAAGAACATTGTAAAATATTTTAGGATATGTAAGATAATTTGAAAATGTCATTGTATAGTGAATGAGAAAACAAATGGGAACAATTGAATGTATTTGAACATATAAAATTACGGAGCATCTTATTAAAATCTGAGAACCATACAGTAGATAATTCACTTGAAAAATGTTAATCAATTGTCTCAGAATTCATTGTTCCTTTGTTTTAACAGTAATCATTCTCTGTTTTTGTTCTCTTACTTTCGATCTTTTTAACTTTCTACCACCAAGCATTTCACTTTCGATTG